CATACTTTTTGGCCAATTTTCAATCGAAGAGGAGGTTGTTTTCTATATTCTCTCAACGTCGTGAGCAATCCCGTCTTCTATACCCTTCCAGGTACCCTCAAGGTCCTCCAGAGGAGAATTTATCTCCAGCGAAGCGTTGTTGATCCGCTAAATTCGTCTTGAGACATATTCACCCAGTGCAGTGCTGATAAATGTAGAATGTTGAATCTGTGATAATTGTCGACGATGGAGAGAGAGGTTGATAGCCACTGTCGCAGGGAAAGTGAAGCTGCTGGAAGTAACAACGGGGAGCTTGTTAGCATCACATGTGCATCCAGACTTCAAAGCAGCTTGACGGAATCGGGGAGTACTGACTATTTGTCTCGCCCTCAGTTTAGTGAATTTTACGACCAGAAAATTATTCGATCAGGATCCCTTCTACAAGATGTGTAGTACAGGTGATTTCTGAACTTGACGATATGGAGACCGACCAGTAGACCTACCAACAACGTGTACCTGCGGGAAATTCACCCAAGGCTATTGCTATCCTCTTCAGTGGCTGTTGTTTTTTAGTAAAAATATGTTCACTTCTCTCAACATACTCCTGCATGGCAGCAAGAAGGTGCGCTATGGAATTCAACGCCACAATCTTCGCCCAGCTGTGGATGAAGCATGGTCAAGTCATGGCAGTACATATACTTGAAACAGATGAGAAATTGAAGTTCATTTGTGATGGGAAGTTTGACAGCCCCAGTGACCGAGTCCAGCATTGTCTTTTGCCGTGGCACGAGTTGCTGAAGAATCCGAGATGGTCTTGGAACTATGCACATGGATACTACCAGAAATAATGGTGGCATAAACCATTGTGGAATGGGACAGCTCACGGAGAATACTGGAATAGCTCAAGTATCTCTAAGTGATTGTAAATCCTGTTCTGGCTGATAGCTTCGGCCTGCTGCGCCCATCCATGTACAATGATGGGAACATGCATTTCTGTTTTCTACATATTTGCTGGCTACTGTACTGTGGTATTACAGTTGCAGGTCCCTTATATAAAATATATGTTCAACCCCCTCCCACATTATAAATATGAACTAACAATTTCACTGTTGGACTCGCAGGCAGCTAGAGAGCAAAGGATTAATTTATAGCAAAGAAAAGGACCAGGGAACTACAAGTAAATTAGTTACGCTATAATGTCCACGAACAATTTCACTGTATTTGAAATAATTTTGTTTGATACCCTGAGAACTCTGAAACTTTGGAGCACTGTGGATTATATGTAGATACAACATTTATAGAAGGAAAAGTGGAATAATTTCTAACACATTGTTCAAATAATTATAGCACTGAATTGTTGAGATTGTGAGCACATTCCAATCAGCACTCTACATATTTATAAGCGGTGGAAATCGTTAGGAATAGGTCGTGAGTTGTCAGAGTGCTCCAGTATATGAGAGAATGTTTTGTTTGTCTAATCGACGGCTCGTTTGAAGCCAGAGTTGTTTGAACTTGTTTCAGTCGACTTGATTCTAGATAGTAGTCGAAGGAGTACTATGAAGTACACACCACACGTAGTCCGTAAGGTATCTCGTGAGAATTCTGTCGGTACACATCAGGTATCAGCTTGGAAAGATGGATCCTCTCTGTTTCTTGAAAGCCTGTATAATTGGACTGTGGCTCCAGCGATTCCCTTCTCAGAGCAGATACCATACCCAATACGGTCAATGCATATTGGACAGACCTGTATGCACAACAGAAATAGTGGAGAGAAATCTCTCAGCTCATGAACACGTCAGTGAAGTTTGAACTGCCGTTGTTTGTGGCCATCAGTATAAACCTATCGACTATAAGAATAATGTGCAAACAAACTTCTATAACCACAGCTGGGGCCATGGAATTATAAACTTAGGGAATTGCCAATTCTGGTCTGAGTTGCGTTCGAAGCCTGCAATTCATGATGGCTATCGTATGTTGCATTGACCAGAGATCATATCATAAAACTTCCATGCCACATTGAAACACGCACCACTTTCGAGTACTTAGGTATCCCCCACCAAATGGGCATTCGTTCTCGGGGTGGCAGGCGTCACTATTTGTTATGCCTGGATCAGATTTCATTGACCCCAACTGTCATGAAGAATCATTTTTACTTAAACTCGATTTCAGTACAAGTTGTAGAACTGCAGAATCAATTTCGTTGTATTTGGGCAACCATTTCACTACAAACGCTCTATTGGGAAAATAGAATTTTTTTATAAAATACATGTCCAAATTCCACATCTACCCAAATCGGAATACTTGATCACGTATTCAGTACTACACGGAATGTTTAGAAAACGCCAGGGAATAGGAATTTGCTAACGAGAACTCCAGGCCAGGGTACTAGCATACGAACAAAACAAGATAAAAACTCACCAGTGTACTTGTAGTAATTCATGTCGGTGTAATATTCATAATAAGCAACGAGGCACCCTCCGATTTGGTCAAGCTGCTTTGAAGTCTGGTTGTTCAGGTGATACAAACGGGCTCCCCGTTGTTACTTCCAGCAGCTTCACTCTCCCTGCGACAGCGGCTATCAGCCTCTCTCTCCATCGTCAACGATTCAACATTCTACATTTATCAGCACTGCACTGGGTGAATATGTCTCAAGACGAATTTAGCGGATCAACAACGCTTTGCTGGAGATAAATTCTCCTCTGGAGGACCTTGAGGGTACCTGGAAGGGTATAGAAGACGGGATCGCTCACGACGTTGAGAGAACATAGAAAGCAACCTCCTCTTCGATTGAAAATTGGCCAAAAAGTATGTGAAATGTATGTGCGCAGACGCATTTCCACTGGCAAGCTAATCCCTCATTACGTCATCAGCGCTCGCTCGGCGAAATTCAAAAGTCGTCTTCCTGCTCGACTCGATCGCTTCTGGAGACTCGTTCTTGTTCGAGGGGTCTTCTCTTTTACCTACCTTCGTCTTGGCATCGAAAACTCGGCGTCGAAAATGAAGCCGGAGTGCCCCTTTAATAATGGCGGTAGTCTGATGGTCCCTGATGGAGTAGCCGGATTACTTCATGCGTTCGCCCTTCAGATCCAATCTCTACACAGTCTAGCACTTGTTGTTTTAGCAAGAGTCCATAACCCAGTATGGACTCTTGGTTTTTTAGTCGTAGACTCTACTGACTCTACTAGTACTACCGGGGAGCATAGATCTGCGACTCCCCAATTATACATGTGCAATCATGTAGATCTACACCAATGTCATCATCGTCATGGCATGATCTCTGCCCCAATAATGCAATATCGTGGAGTCTGCTAGAGAAGGCGAAGATGTGAAGAATCGCTTCTCCACCACTCGCTGATTGTCGACAACTTGAACTCGGCCGACAAGATATGCTCGCGCAGGAGACAACAGAAGCAGCAACAGCAATAAGGATGTGTGCCGGGTCCGTGGCTGTGAGAAGGACACAAGTCATGTACTTTAGACTGACACACATTCTCTAAACTCTCTGTTGGCAGTGTTGCAGTGGCAAAAGGTGGTCTCAGTGGGTGGCCAATATGGTTTCATTCACAAATGGCTGACTTGAACCCGAAGTGAAACACTCCAAACAGAAGAGAAAGTCACACGATCGTACATGTACATACCGGTATGTCATCAGGGAGCCCTACACATAATACTAATAGTGTTGTTGTACATATTTTCAAGAGTATACAGCCATGTATAACCCCCAGAGGGGGGGGGGGTATTATCTTTATTTGAGGGATGACCTTGATATTATGTAACGTAGGACGTTTTTGCAGAAGACTTTCACGGAGGCATCGAGTCTGTAATTTGTTCCAGGCTACAGGTACGCCGAAGAGAAGAGATTGTCTCTAAAAAAAAGAAATGTTACCAGTCCGAGGCCAAGTGATAGAGGAAGGGTGTCAGCAGCTACACGAGGTGTTGAAGCCAACCGGCTCAATAGTACTAATGGACAACAATAGCAACGGACACCGTCACAGGATGAAACAAAGCATGCAGAGAATACAGTCAGTAGTAGAAATGTAGTGTGTGTCAACTCACCATTTCACAATGCAGACATTCCATATTGATTCATTCGTGTTGGTAGTCCGGGCCCTAGCCTAGGCTAGGGTATACTTCAAGTATAAAAATTACGATCATGTACATGTACATGTACGCGTTGGCAGTCCCCTAGGAGATATACGCGATAATACTTACTTTAAAATGTATTACTATTACCAGTATTACTAGTACTACTAGCCCTACATGGTTCAGGCATGCATGCCTATCAGTATCAGAGGGGGGGGGGGGGGGGGTATCATGATTCTGTTGCTGTCAATCATGTACATGTACCAGTACTGCAGTAGATCATTATTATTCTTGCAGTCTTGGAGTCTTGTTATCACCATGCATATCCATGTGATCACCCACACGTACAGACACACTCCGTGTGCAAATGTCACAACGACAACAAACAGGTTACATCGTAACATGGACATGGTGCAACCCACTTGGCGAAGTGCACAGTTGCAGCATCTCACATGATTGTGTGTCAGGGGTAAGAGTTACTAAGAGTAAGACTCACCCTATATATGGCCTACACTACAGGCTACACTCATCGTGTAGATCTGCCATTACATCATGTACATGGTGTAGACTGAACCTACCTAACTCTGTTACTTCCTAGGCTAGTCCTAGGCCTTGTTAGTTGTGGTAAGTAGATGACTGTAGTCTACTAGTAGTAGTACTAGTATTGTAGTAGGTCTACTATCTGTGTAATGTGCATACCGGCCCGGGACATTTGCTCCGAAGCGCGGTCGATCGGTCGGCCACACAACTGCCGTGAAATGACCCTGAGCGCAAATGAGGTGTGAAGAGAGGGCAGCTCACACCCACTGTGACCGAGGCTAGAGCCGCTAGACGCAAAGAAAGTGGCCAGCACTCCCAGCACTGCAGCAGGCGCGAGCCGCGAGCGGGCGAAACATGGCACATCTTTCAGACAGTTCTGCTTCCGATCGATGATCGCCGAGTCGCAGGATCTAGGAAGCGCCGGGCCTTGCATGGATCAACGCGATGTGCCACGAAAGCCTAGAAACACGATTGAAATAGCGAAAGGAGAATCGGGGCAGATGGCGATGTATTCGAGTGGACTAGTCTTCAGTTGAGCGCTCCCGTCACATCCTGAAACCTAGTAAATCAGCAGAGTAGGTGCTGGAATGCTGAGCAGGGTGCTTTCTCCCTCTGTGCTATGGTTGAGCTGGTTCTTCTCTCCTTTGCTTGGCTCGCTGCGGACTAAAACCGGCAGTGCCCGGATTTCGGTCGATGTCAAACTAACCCTTTGCTTGCTAGATTATAGGTCAGGCGGAAAGAAACCACTTCTTCTTCCGTACAAGTGCTCTCGACCATCATCAAGTCGGGAAGCGCTGCAAGGGCTTCGATTTGTAGGTCGCTGATCGTAGATCTACACGTGGATGTGGTGGGTGGTGACGGCTAGCTAGCTTGACCTTGGATCACGTTCTGGTTCTCAGAGTGCGTAGTACAAGTTGTAGCTATTATTATGGATAAAAAGTTTGTACGCTCCCGTAGCGTCAGGTATCGCTCTGCTGCCAGATCAAGGGCCACACAGAGTGTGTGTTTGGAAAAAAGCAAAGTTGATTTGCAAGATGCGGACAAGAATCTCCCAGCCATGTCGAATGTGGTGGCCAGCGAGGGAGGATCGTTGTCGTCTGCAGGCTTCATCAGTGATATGATAGACTCTGATGGTTCAGCGCTGGACAGACTTCGTGCCGAATTACAAGAAGCCTGCATAGAAAGGCTCAAGGCTGCCGAGTACGGTTTAGTTTTGTTGGATGAAAAGAATTTTCTGCAGCAGGAAGTTGACCGACTGGAAGTGCAGCACGAGGAAAGCCGACAGGAGGTTGATAATTTAAACCAGGTATGCTCGTATTGAAGTTTGTCGAATTGGTTTTGATTTGAGGGGCCCTGCGCTGCCCTGAGAAGGCGACGTGCTGGCCGGGTCCCCTCGATATCGAAACCAGGTTCAATTATAAATTTATACTAATAGTAATTGATTGTCACACATGCTGAACCCTGGCAGCTCACTTCCCTGACTGTTTACAATTACACATTATTGATTGTCACTTTTGAGTTCACAGTACATGACTGTACACGTGTACGTATATCTGCGTGTGCGCATTGTGTATCCACATGGAAGTCTAGTACTTAGTAGTACTACTACAAAAGTAGTACTAGGTACATGGTACATACACATGCATGATGCAGGGATCGTACAACTCTAATTTTACATTGAGTGGTGCATGGGGCACATGCTCGTCTGAGACTTCTTGTGTCCTGGTACAGATCACTTCAAGATCACTTGCACCATTTTGAAATAGAAAGGCATTACTGTGGATCTACAGTCATGTAGATCTACTAGAACTATTGGACTAATATACACTTGTTTGGCTTAGCATAGAGGCGATACATCAGCTATAAACGACAGCATTGTTATGTCCCGTGGAGGTACAATACTGATGTTTTTCACCGTAGTCGAAATTGCTACATTTGAAGGAGGATTGCAGTCAGTGGCAGAACATTCCAACCCACCGCTGAGGTCGGCTGACAAGGCAATGTGGCCCCGTGCTCCGTCTAAACCAAGGAGATCATCCAACGCGCTACGGTAACTACGATATTGACCAGTGACCGTACCACTAGAGACCATTAGCAAACGAGTAACTTGGTTAGAGTCCCGTCCTGACCACGCGAAACACTCTCGTGTTTGACGAGTTCGGATGGGTCGACTCGTCATAGTAGTAGTAGTAGTAGTAGTAGTAGTAGTAGTAGTAGTAGTAGTAGTAGTAGTAGTAGTAGTAGTAGTAGTAGTAGTAGTAGTAGTAGTAGTAGTAGTAGTAGTAGTAGTAGTAGTAGTAGTAGTAGTAGTAGTAGTAGTAGTAGTAGTAGTAGTAGTAGTAGTAGTAGTAGTAGTAGTAGTAGTAGTAGTAGTAGTAGTAGTAGTAGTAGTAGTAGTAGTAGTAGTAGTAGTAGTAGTAGTAGTAGTAGTAGTAGTAGTAGTAGTAGTAGTAGTAGTAGTAGTAGTAGTAGTAGTAGTAGTAGTAGTAGTAGTAGTAGTAGTAGTAGTAGTAGTAGTAGTAGTAGTAGTAGTAGTAGTAGTAGTAGTAGTAGTAGTAGTAGTAGTAGTAGTAGTAGTAGTAGTAGTAGTAGTAGTAGTAGTAGTAGTAGTAGTAGTAGTAGTAGTAGTAGTAGTAGTAGTAGTAGTAGTAGTAGTAGTAGTAGTAGTAGTAGTAGTAGTAGTAGTAGTAGTAGTAGTAGTAGTAGTAGTAGTAGTAGTAGTAGTAGTAGTAGTAGTAGTAGTAGTAGTAGTAGTAGTAGTAGTAGTAGTAGTAGTAGTAGTAGTAGTAGTAGTAGTAGTAGTAGTAGTAGTAGTAGTAGTAGTAGTAGTAGTAGTAGTAGTAGTAGTAGTAGTAGTAGTAGTAGTAGTAGTAGTAGTAGTAGTAGTAGTAGTAGTAGTAGTAGTAGTAGTAGTAGTAGTAGTAGTAGTAGTAGTAGTAGTAGTAGTAGTAGTAGTAGTAGTAGTAGTAGTAGTAGTAGTAGTAGTAGTAGTAGTAGTAGTAGTAGTAGTAGTAGTAGTAGTAGTAGTAGTAGTAGTAGTAGTAGTAGTAGTAGTAGTAGTAGTAGTAGTAGTAGTAGTAGTAGTAGTAGTAGTAGTAGTAGTAGTAGTAGTAGTAGTAGTAGTAGTAGTAGTAGTAGTAGTAGTAGTAGTAGTAGTAGTAGTAGTAGTAGTAGTAGTAGTAGTAGTAGTAGTAGTAGTAGTAGTAGTAGTAGTTTTTTTGCCATGACCGCAACAAGTGGGTTTTGGTCCAGTACAGTCTGTATCGGCTATAGAGTGACCGGATATAAGAATATATCGGCTACAGTGATATTGGTACGAAATATCGAAAGCAAAACGTATTTTATCCAGTAAAAATATCACTATAAGTATAGATTATAGACCGGTTAGGAGGTCTATACAGGATATATAGACCGAGTAAAAGACCGAGGTCCCCCGAGGTCTTTTACGAGGTCTATATATCCTGTATAGACCAACTATGAGGTCTATAATCTATTTATCGTGTTCTCCACGCAATAGTTTCTCTTCATATACGACATATCCTTGTAATTCTAGTATTATACTATAGCCTATACCGCATTGTACTGCATTGAAAGTCAAGATCATTGTTTAAACTAGGTTCAGCATCGGTAGCACAGTGGCTGGGTGGTAAGGAAGAGTGACTGAGATTCACAAGGTTGTGGGTTCAAATCCCATCTTGTGTATTTCTGCTTTCTTCAAAAATTTCTTTTTCTAAGTTGGAGAGAAAATTTCTAAGTCCAAGAAGTTCTAAGGAGTCAAATATAAGTAGTCAAATATATCGTGTATTTGACTAAGCAGTCAAATACGCGATATATTTGACCGCTTAGGTATCAGGGAAATTAGTGGGGTCAAGTACTAAGAAGGCGATAATCAATATTATCGGATGTAATGATATATCGGATATTATGATGGCAACAAAGAATCAAAACATACATAACGCACTATATTATTATCGGCTATAGTGATAACTTTAAAATACATGTAGTAATAAGGGGCCTTCCGTAAATACCGATATTTATTTAGAAACGAAAACTAGTCGTTTCTCTTCAACCCCCTCCTGAGAAACGAACATATACAAATGGTACGCAGTATCGATATTTTTGGGTCTTTTTTCTGGACATGCTCACACACGCAAAATGTACATCGATATTTTTTGAGAAACGAACTGGAGCTCAACCCCCTCCCTCCTAAACGACTAGTTTTCGTTTCTAAATAAATATCTATATTTACGGATGGCCCCTAATATCAAAGGCCCTATTTTTTTACTTTCTTCACGTTGCTTATTTTTATATTGATACATGTACATGTACATAACAGAATTTTTTATGGAAATGCGGGCACTGTCAACTATGCAGCATGCTCATTTGTCAAAACGCCATGCTGGAAGTATTTCCTTGCCTTTCATGTGTCGATCGAAAAAAAATCGTTCGTATCACATTATAGTGATGCATTGGTTATAGTGATAAAATCACGGAAATCAAAAGGGTACGCTATAGCCCATACAGACTGTACTTGCAATTTCTACCATGATATGGAGAATAGCACCGTAAATCGCGCCTCTTTTGGTGTTCAAGTTGTGACTGTTCTCAAATTTCGAAATGTTTCATGTACTCTAGTTGGAATGAAGTATCTGTATTATTTTTGTATTCTGTTCTGGCTACGTTTGTAATGGGGGGGGGGGGGGGAGGAGTGCCCTTATCAATATTTTAAGGAGAACATCTGTAACAAAGACCAATCGACCATAGATCTTCTGATAATGTGTGGCACTGGTGTGGGAGTATCACATCTACCTGCTGAACTGCGGAGCATTGACGTTGGTAGTGTAGTATCCCTGCCCGACCAATACGGAAGTAGTACGGAACTAATACGGAGCTTTGCCTGATGTATATTTAGTGTATCTCCGTATGTAAGCGTACGGCGTCTGCTGCATAAAAAGCGGCTGCGCATTTCTGTTTAGATGAAGATTTTATAGCGACGACAAAGCTAACTCGAAGAAGAAGTAGCCAACCTCTAGGTGTGCACCGGAGAGAAAGCTATTTATTTGCCGCTTCTTCTTTCACTAATAATTATATCCCAGGTGTGTACCTAAGAGAATAATAATAAAAGATTATGTATGTGTACTACAGTGCTGGCAACTGAAATCCGACCCCCTTGGCGGCGCGGCGCGCCGCCAAGGGGGTCGGATTTCAGTTGCCAGCACTGTAGTCGAATTAGAGCATCAGACTCTGCGTTCAGGCATGGAACGTACTTGCATCGCAGAACCATAGTGTGTACTTACATCACAGAACCATAGTGTGTAGCTTGTGACTTACAGCACAGAACCATAGTGTGAACAGCAGTGACAATCAGTTCACCCTATCTATCAACTGTCCTCGTTGTCATCGCGTGACATAGCTTCTGTCTTGCTGCTGCCGGGAATGGCAAAGACGGACATGGCATGGCCTCATCAATCTCCTCGTCCTAGTCCATCGGAGAGGGAATGTGAAGAGCGACGGAGCCGGGATGGAACTTTCCTTCTAGCAGCTGCTTGTTAAGCACCAAGAAGATTGATACGTCAATCGTGAATGTCATCCAGCTATTCTGGACGTTAATCACCAGTCTGCCAGTAGCAGGGAATGCTGTAAAGCGACAAACTTTCGCGGCGCGCAAATTTAGCGTTTTCACAAATTGGACTGGTTCACGATGAGAAACGTTTGCGATTCTATCTCTTCAGTCGGATCTTGGACTGTCTACAATCAATGTACGGAGAGGTTTGCGGCAATTTATATTCACGAATGTGTGATGGTAATTTCAAATTTGGACTTCACGGAGAATTTCAAAGGTTAGGAAATTAGAGGCCGCATGTCACATACTGCTCTTTACTCTCCGAAACTCAACACTTGGAAGCCAGATATGAAAGAAAGAAAAATCATCAGTCACACCACCGGGACTCGAACCAGGGACCTTGCTATTCGCGAGCAATGCTCTAACCAACTGAGCTACAGTATGACTCTTATCCGTGAAGTTAAAGTCCAAATTTGAAATTGCAATTTGTATTTGCTCGCAGTGGACATAGTTTGATGCGCTCTCCATGATATCAAGCGAATCGCCGATGGCCCTCTTGATTGGTGTGAGTTGCCAGTATGATGCAAGCCAGATATTGATTGATCGAAGAAGAATAGTGGATAAGAGTCATACTGTAGCTCAGTTGGTTAGAGCATTGCTCGCGAATAGCAAGGTCCCTGGTTCGAGTCCCGGTGGTATGACTGATGATTTTTTCTTTCTTTCATATCTGGCTTGCAAGTGTTGAGTTTTGGAGAGAAAAGAGCAGTACGTGGCATGTGGCCTCTAATTTCCTAACAATGTGTGATGGCGCGAAAATAGCGAAATTTAATCTCTAGCGAAAGCTTCTCACTTTACAGTAAGGGAGGGAGCTGAGCATCGCCCTCGTCCCTGTACATACAGGAATGTTTGTATGCATTTTATTGTGGTATGGTAGGCTGGCTCACTGTACGAGAGATCAAAAGTACGTAAACCAGAGTATGCTGCTCCTCATCTGTCGTACATGTTTGCTCACACGGCAGGGCTTTTGTTAAGGCCCGGGCAATTGAAGAGAGTACGCAGACAGCTGTATTCCTATTGGTGTATCTACTTTGTGCAGCAACTTCAAGAGAGCCGTTCGGAGAGCTCATACTTCAAGCAGCAGGTGTCATCACTGCGTGAGGATCTTGTGGAGCAATGTGACGAACGTGAGGAGGAGTTGGTTAAAGACTCTCGCAATCTTCTACAGCAGCTTTCTAATGTGAAGCACTCACTCAAGTCGGAGACGGAGCAACGCAGACTCCTAGAGGAAGAGGTAAGCAAGTATCTTGATCCGAATCCTGTGATGTTGGTGGACCCCATGCATACGTGCACGCGTAGACACACATATGCACACACCACACACACATACACACACACACGCACACACGCACACGCACACACTCATACTACTCCTGCCCATCGCTGAAGCGATGATAGCGAACAAACTATGTTAGACATAGCAACTTGTGCTGGGATTACACCATTCAACAGCTTGCAAGGCTGGTGAATTGACCGCCACTATTTTTAGCCTGGTCTACATCACACGGCTGGTTAAAGTGGCTTTTTCTGGCCAGTGAATCCCTATTTTTCAATTTAGTGCACACACATACACACACACACACACACACACACACACACACACACACACACACAAATACACATACGCGCGCAGTGCAGCACCTCTCCGATGTGTTCACTGCAGGCAGCACTTGCTACTGTCATCTAGTCCAATGCTGCACTAGACTAATAGTAGCGCCTGTGCTCACTCCCAATTCACTTTCTGCAGGTGGAGATATTGCGGCAAAATGAACATAACTTAGAGAACAAAGTCATCATTGCCAAGCGACAGTCATCTGAAGAGCTGGAAGAATGTCGCACCCTGAGGATGACGAATGCTGAGTTACGGCAGCAGCTAGGTATCACCAGCCAAACTGCAGTAAGTTGAATTCACCTCTCATCTCTTGCTCTCCCCCCCCCCCCTGGTGCATGTGCCGTACACACTCGAGCTACTTCAAAGTACAGTAAAACCTGTGTTTGCCAGATCCTGTGCCAGGTGGAGCCCGGTATTGACCGGACAAACTTTTCCTGCACCAACGCCCTGTGGATCGAACTTGCATCCCTGGATCCGGTGGAATCCTGCCATATCAGGACGGTTACCGCTGCACCAAGGGTGTCCGGTTAGGGCAGGCTTTACTGTATAGAACTGCTGCAGCCAGCAAATGTTGACTTCTTAGTGCACCACCTGGTGTACTGTCCTGCTTTAGTGCACCACCTGGTGTACTGTCCTACTTTGTACATAATTATATTTGTTTTCAATTTCTCAGTCTTCTTGGACTTGACCCTACCTGTATGCGGAAGACTCGTGTACATGTGTGCCTCGGTGTGTGTGTGTGTGTGTGTGTGTGTGTGTGTGTGTGTGTGTGTGTGTGTGTGTGTGTGTGTGTGTGTGTGTGTGTGTGTGTGTGTGTGTGTGTGTGTACCTGCCACCTTTGTTGGTTTCAGGGTTCGTATACTTTCTATTTGAAGTATACATACCTGTTAACCATGGACCAATTCTGGCTAGAGTAACTCTTGTGTAATCAATGGTGCTACAGTCCATTCATTGAGAACTGGCACCCTAACTTTTTGATGTCCCCCACACATAGTTGTAGATATCGTGAAAGCAACAGTACATCCTGCATTGTGTGACCTGTGCAATTACTCCTAGCCACATTTGAGGCCAGAAATGTCCAAGAACAGGGAAATAGAAATTCAGCCAGGTTTTACAAAATTAGGACAGGTATGCCATGGGAAAATGCATGGAGAAGCAGATCCCAAACCCAGATTTTTGAGGTTTAAAGTGGGTTTTGATCCTCAATTCGGCCCAACTCGGACTTTCGAAAGCCAGCGGGAAAATTTCCGATGAATGGACTGTAGTGAAGCTTATATCAGATCCACTCTGATTTAGCCACCCACACTAGTAGCGAGTATTACCTTCACCGGGGGCAGGGGTAACTGCAGTTGAATCCCGGGGACGGATACCCTGATGCCGTCAATCCTTTTTCTTCACCTTGTCCTCACCTACTTACTGTGGTGTGGTGAGCTCATAAGTGGGATCATTTTCAAGTCCACCCATAGTCTGGGGACTTCAGGGGGTGATGGCTGTTGGGCGGTTCAATTGCCAATTGAGTCCTTTTTCCAAGATTCCTTTTGAGTCTCTCTCTCCTCTCCCAAGGGGGGGGGGGGGGCCACGTGACCAATTTTGGCAGTGAGCAAGTACAAGTGTGTGTGTGTGTGTGTGTGTGTATGTGTGTGTGTGTGTGTGTGTGTGTGTGGTGTGTGGTGTGTGGTGTGTGGTGTGTGTGTGTCCCATATGGTGCAGTGGTATGTGCAGACGATTTCCAATCGAGAGGTTTTGGGTTCAATTCCCGACGATTATGGTCGCACACGTCTTTCTTCTCTTTCTCATTCTCCTAGCTCTTCTTTCGTTCTCCTGGGTGGTTGCCAACAGCCAGTGCATGCCAAAGTATGTGGTGTGGCGTGTGTGTGCGCAACTTTGAACTGTTGAGTGGGAGAGCTTGTATAGCCACGCACAAATACGTCTTGGTAACTCAAATATGGAGTGGTTCCGGTTCACGGAACGACATTGCACTTGTTACTTGAAAGGATTAGGTGACTTGAAAAGGAGTGTCACCAGAAAACCTTATTTGAGACAAGTTGAGACAAGTAGAGACAAGTGAAGCATGCAAAAGGGAAAAGGCAGCAAAAAAGGAGCCACAGGCTCGCTGCGCATGCTCCGGGCTGAGAGCTGCAAAACGGTGCACGCGATGCGTGCAGCAAGACATCAGCATGACGTCAACATGATGTAACACATAAACAAATAAAGACATAATAATGAGCGTAACGCGGATTCGTGATGCATATTCACGACACTCCCCGGGCATTGGCCGGAGAACAGAATTAACCATAATTAATAACAAGGAGAAATTTCACACGAAACATGTGGAAAGATATTACTGAAGAGCATAAAGAATGCGAGAGCAATGAGAGTGAGCGAGCGAGAGAGAGAGAGAGAGAGAGAGAGAGAGAGAGAGAGAGAGAGAGAGAGAGAGGGGGGGAGAGAGAGAGAGAGAGAGAGTTAAACACGGCCATCGGCGATCAAATCCTGCAAGTTGGACTGAAACTTGCTGGCAGCGGCTCGTGTCGGTCTTCGTACGACTGCAACGGGAGTGCTAGTCTTCTGAGCTGGGGTAGCTGAGGATTCCGAGGTACTGCTGGTCTCCTGAGCTGGGGTACCTGGGGATTCCGAGGTACTGCTGGTCTCAAGCGGACACAGTAAGCTTACTGGCCGCTTGATGGTACGTTTGTCCGAAGTGAGGACGGTGGCGGAGCGGATGTTGCCATCGCTGCTGGTGTGGACTTCTTGGATTCGTCCAAGGCGCCAGTGGCCGCGAGGCAATTCCTCCTTGATGAGGACAACGTCAGCAGGCTTCGGAAACGTTGAGGATCGAGTCCTTGACTGCTTGAATGATGACGTGTGGGCTTCTCGCAGACTGAGGAGGTACTCGTTCCTCCAGGCAAGCCAGAACTGATCAAGATGTCGTTAACCCTTCTTCCAAAGGTCCAACAGGCTGTCTGCAGAGGAATTGATAGGCTGGTAATCCGGGTCGGTCGGGTCGTTGCTGACCGTGAAGAACCCCTGTGTGGCAGACAGGCTGATAAAATGACCAGGCGTCAGGACTGTGCACTGTTCTTCGTCAACATAGACTAGCGGCCGAGAATTGACGACAGACTCAACTTCTGGCAGGAGAGTGGCGAGTTGGCTGGTTGTGAGGAGGCGTCTCCCAATGGTCTTGCGCATAGAACGCTTGACAATACCCACAAGCCTTTCATACATTCCACCCATCCACGGAGAGTTGGCAACGATGAAGTGCCACTGGATTTGATGGCGGCTAATGTAGGACGTAACACTGGTGTCCACCACAATGTTGCTCCAGGCAATGTCAAGAGCGGACTTGGCCAGCTTAAATTGGGGAGCGTTGTCAGACACAACTAGCTCTGGCGTGCCACGGCGGGCGACGAAACGTCTCAATGCGAGCAGAAACTCGGCAGCTGTCATGTCGTGGACTGGCTCCAAATGAACAGCTCTGGTCACCATGCACGTGATCAGGCAGACCCATGCCTTAGCGGTTTCTGACTGTGTACGGACGAGGACTGGGCCAAAGTAGTCCAGGCCGATGTGTGAGAATGGTCGCGCTTGGGTCACTCTGGTAGAAGGTAGCGGACTCATCTGAGGTGTCTTGTATGGCGCGCCTTCGTAGTGAATGCACGTCTGACAGCGGTGCACGAGGGCCTTTACAGCTGATCTGCCTTTCGGGATCCAAAACTGATATCGGACACGGGATAGTGTGTGCGCTACGCCGCCATGCATGACCTTGAGGTGGCAATCACGTATGATCAGGTTGGCAATGGCGTGTTCCTTGGAGATCAGGACGGGAAACCTCGATTTGGAGCAGAGGTCAGCATTCTCCAGTCTTCCACGGCATCTCAGTACTCCGTTGTCGAGCACTAAGTTGAGCTTAGTTGCCAGCGGATGTTGCTTCCCACTGGACAGAGCGGTGATAACATCTGCATAGTGTGCAGACTGGCTGTGGCTGATCCAGACTTGCTCTGCTGCTTCGATTTCTCTAGGCGTGAGAGGTCCAGATGGAGTTGGTTTCTTCCGCAGCCTACAGAGGAAACGAAAGCAAAGTGCAGACACACGCACTAAAGAGTCGAACGACGAGAAGTCGTTCACAACAATGCCATATGGGAATACATCAGATTTTTTATTGGTCTGTGAACCCTGACCAAATGGCTGACCCCCCGACCCCTTTGAGGTGACTTCCGGAGGACCCTCCGCCAGCGCAACAGTGACGGTTGCTGCAGTGGTGCCTTCAATCGGCAGGCTGGGGCCGTTCCACCAGGTGTCGCATTTTAACAAGGTTGCGGCGCTCAATCCACGGGATGGCAGGTCGGCTGGATTCAGCTTTGTCGGGACGTAGTGGTGGAGAACGTCTGGAACGGCTGCGATGGCGTTGACGCGGTTCTGCTCAAAGACGGGGAGCTTCGTGGACTTGAGCCAATGGAGTACAGTCGTTGAGTCGGTGTACAGATGAGTGGCTTGGAACTGGATGTCCAGTTGCTTGCGTAGGTACACGATAAGGCGAGATCCTAGGCTTGCCGCCATCAACTCTAACCGTGGGATCGTTTGACCCTTGATGGGAGAGACCTTCGTCTTGCTGAAGATAATATGGCGCTGACTCTTATCACCGACAGTGCTTTCCAAGTACGCAACGGCAGCATAGGCGATCGCTGACGCATCGCAGAAGATGTGCAACTGATACGACGGGCTCTTACATGTGGGTACACCGACGTAGCGTAAGATCGGATAGCTGCTAGACTCGTCAAGGTCGGCGGCTATTGGGTGCCAGCGACTGAGGACGTCGGAGGGCAGTGGGTCATCCCATGACACAGCAAGCTTCCAGATATCTTGCATAAGAACCTTCGCTCTGATGGACACGGGGGCGAACAAGCCAAGCGGGTCGAAGAAGCGAGACAGTGCCTGTAGAACCTGGCGCTTCGTAGTGACAACAAGGTTAGCTGCATTAGGCGACTGTACGGACAAGACGTCCTCTCTGGGGTCCCAATGGAGACCAAGGCATTTCTCGCGAGTGCTTCTTGAGCGATCGTGTTCTGGGATCTTGTCCAAAACCTCGGAAGAGTTTGATGCCCACTCTCTAAGGTTCATGCTGATTGCGGAGAACGTCGCCTTTGCTGATTGATAGTGAGCGACAGCATCGTTGATGGTGTCCTTGCCCAGGATGATGTTGTCTACGTACGTGTTTCGGAGAATGTCGTCTGTCTCCGGTGAACAGGTCTGCGTGAGGTGGTACTTGATCGTTGCAGACAGCAAGAAAGGGCTGGAAACAACACCGAAAGGGACTCTACAGAAACGCAGAGTTTGGAGATTACTGTAGTTGACTGGTTGGTTGGGGTCATCCAACCACAAGAAACGAGTGACATCACGATCGGCTACGTTCAAATTCATCTGTAAGAACGCTTTCTCGATGTCACTACAGACGGCAATAGGGTGCATGCGGAAACGCAGGAGAATGCCGCAGAGATCAGGGATCATGCACGGCCCAGGGTACAGACAATCATTGAGACTGGGCGAAGTCTTCGATACACGAGCGGATGCGTCGTACACGACACGGATCTTAGTGGTGCTGCTGGACAGCTTGAGCACACAGTGATGTGGTAAGTAGTGTATTGGATGCGAGTTGTCTCTCTGGCTGGGACAAGCAACGCGTTCGATGATACCAAGTGACAGTTGCTCTTCAAGTACCTTGCTGTACTTGACGAAGGTATCAGGCTCGTGACGGAGACGTTTAATGAGTGACTTCAAACGTCCGAAAGCAAGTGGAAAGTTGTTTTCCAAAGGCGGATGTTGTTGTCGCCAAGGCCACCCGACGGTGTACCGTCCGTCCTCAAACACGACTGATTGGAGAAAGTCGTCATACGCATGATCGTTGCTGGGGCGTGTCGCACTGAGAGAGTCGAAATCTTCAACAGCCCAGAAGCGCTCAAGGTCAAACGAGGGATCTTCACGTCGATGACTTGCTACGGCTAAGGTGGTGTTGCTCTCGATTACCGAACAGGCGTGCTCAGTTGCTACTGTGCCGGCGCAAACGAAACCAAGTGACGAGTCCAACAGCTGCAGGCCATCGGGAAAGGAGATACGGTCTGTGCCCAGGATCTTGTAGTAGTGATCAAGACCAATGAGGATGTCGATACACAGGCGATCGTTGGATGACGTGAGCGGCTCCGCAAGAGGAAGGGTGTTGAGGCTCGGGTGCCTGTTGGTGTCCAAGGGGACGCGCCATATCGGTGAAGTGATTTGGGGAATCACATTGGCGGACAATGGAAGGATAGAGTCATTCTTCAGTTTGAGATTGACCTCAACTCGTGGGTACTGAGACGTGTTCCTCGATGCACTACCGAAAGTAGAGAGGGCAATGTGATCTTGACCTAGAACACTGAGGTTGGCTTTCGCCTGGAGCGCCTGCGTGACGTACGACCGGCAAGAGCCACTATTGAACAGTATACGTGCAGACAGCGTGGTCGGGGTACCGGAAGAGTTGGACACTACATCTGCAACTGCGGTTTGCATGATGACGGACTGGTTGTCGCCTGCGACTGTGGTAATGGCAGGACGTGGCTGGAAAGGTGCCGCGTTGGCACACATTGCGGAGCTTGGGTGTGCACCAAATTTCACGGGACACAAACTGGAGTGATGGTCAGGCTTACGACAATAGAAGCAAGGCTTCTGCAGACTACATGACGAAACACTGTGGCCTGGCCGTAGGCACCGTTGGCACTTGTCGCCGAGGCGTGGTTTCCTTGTTTCAAGTGTGCTATACTTGGAACACATGTCAGAGTAGTGGCTTTCCCTGCAGAAAGCGCAGACTTTCTTTCTTGGCAGTGACTGGCGACTCGACTCGCCGACAAGAAGTACGGACGACTTATGTACGGAAGACGGCTGTTCATGTTTGCTGCTGGCGGCATGACTGGATTGGCGCTCGGCTGTCTCCTGCGCTACTATATACGCACACAGTTTGACTCTCAGCTCGGCGACAGACCATGGATCGATGCCTTTCTGCAACTCAAGTTGCGCAAGCACGTGACGCGGAAGCTTGCTGGTCATCAGTGAAATGAAGATTGGTTGGTCAGTGTCTTCTTCAAGAGCGTTGAGACTGCGTAGGTGTAGTTCTACCGTATCGTACAGCTTACGGAGCGAGGACGGCTTGTTGGTTGCCGGTGGAGTTTCCATCAGGGCGACATGGTGAGCATTAACCTGCACCTGCGTGTTGCCATAACGCTCGTCGAGCAGGCCAAGAGCAACAGCATAATTTGCATCTGACAGAGACAAACCAGAAATGGTGTCGAGTGCATTGTGTGTCACATGCTCCTTTAGGTAGGAAAGCTTCTGTACATCGCTTAATCCAGTGTGTTTGTGTACAGATGCCATGAACATGTCGTGGAAAGACTTCCATTGCAGGATGTCACCGTTGAATTTAGGTAAACCTAACTTTGGTAAATTGACAGTGGACTTGTGAGATGCTTGAGTGGTGAGTGATTCACTATGCTGTTGTAGCAGAGATTGAGTATGTTCCTGTGTTTGACGATGAATGGTGAGTAACTCTTTCATCTGGCTTTGCATTAGCTTGACAACTGAGTCGTCGTCCGATTTGTTAGTACTCGACTCTGGAGAGGTCTGACAATCTGCTGCTGATTTCAGTTGAGAAATTCGGAATTTGAGCTTTTTGATCACGCTCATAGTTTCAAACTGGAAGTCCAGATTATCGTCTGCTTCCTGTTTACAAGCAGCTTCGTCAGAGCTCTCCAGGGCGGAGGAATCAACACAATTTGACAAAAGCTCACAGACCTCATCAAATGCTACGACATCGGACTCTAAAGATGCACATGTTTCACTTAGCTTTTCTGCTGTTGCAGATGAGGGAGCTCCAGACAATAATGCGTTGCCGTCATCGAGGCATTGCTGGATGCTCTTCCGCAGCCGAAGTATCTTGCCGCGATACCGCTTAGTTGATGCCGGATTAGGAGCATCGGCACTCGAAGCCTTTTTTGGTGGCATTCCCGGGTTTCGGCACCAAGTTTGTGCGCAACTTTGAACTGTTGAGTGGGAGAGCTTGTATAGCCACGCACAAATACGTCTTGGTAACTCAAATATGGAGGGGTTCCGGTTCACGGAACGACATTGCACTTGTTACTTGAAAGGATTAGGTGACTTGAAAGGGAGTGTCACCTGAAAACCTTATTTGAGACAAGTTGAGACAAGTAGAGACAAGTGAAGCATGCAAAAGGGAAAAGGCAGCAAAAAAGGAGCCACAGGCTCGCTGCGCATGCTCCGGGCTGAGAGCTGCAAAACGGTGCACGCGATGCGTGCAGCAAGACATCAGCATGACGTCAACATGATGTAACACATAAACAAATAAAGACATAATAATGAGCGTAACGCGGATTCGTGATGCATATTCACGACAGTGTGTGTCAAAAAAAGAATGAAAAAATGGAAAATAGGGATTCACTGGCCAGAAAAAGTCACTTCAATCAGCTGTGTGGCGGATACCAGGCTAAAATTAGTGGCGGTCAATTCATCAGTCTTGCAAGCTGTTGAATGGTGTAATCCCAGCACAAGTTGCTATGTCTAACATGGCTGTTCGCTATCATCGCTTTCGCGATGGGCATGTGTGAGTCTGAGTCTGAGTGTGTGTGCATGTTCGTATGTGCGTCTTTGTGCTGATGTGCATGATTGTATACATGTGCATTTGATGTGGCTCTGTTGTTTCACCTTTTCTTCCTCCCTTGTCCAGGACGATGAGAACAGACGGCTGCGCCAGGAGAATGCCGAACTGGCCGAGCAAGTGCATGCGCTGTGTGAAGAACTCGACAACATACAGGCGGAGACATTGCAGCTCCCTAACGAGCTGGAAAAGCAAGCAGTGACGGCTGAAGATACATCACCAGCTGAAGAAGGCAGCAGCAGCACTACGCATGACGGACTGCCAAGCTCAAGTAGAAGCTCCCAGGATGCGGCTTCTCCTGCTGGTCAGGATCCGCTCTCAGAGACGAATAGTGTTGCGGAGGATTCTCGTAATGGCGATTGTCCACGTCCCGCTCTAAAGAGACAAGTCTCCGGCAGTGTTAAGCAACGCTTACGCCAGCGTACCTCCGTGGAGAGTTCCTATGGCGACTATGCAACTGAAGCCGCGTTTGAGAAGCGCGAGAGAGAACTGCTGCAAGAGGCTAGCCAGCTGAGAGCGGATCTGGTGGCGGCGCGCACCGAAGTCGACGGCATTCGCCAGATGTCGGCCGATACCAAGCTGGCCACGTCGAAGCAGATCGCACGCCTCCAAGAGGAGCTGGAGCTAATGGGCCAGCGAGAGCAGGAGGCGCACCAGCAGAGCAAGGATCACGAAGAACAGGCGAACAGCCGGCAGAAGATGGCCGTGGTGAACGAGGATGTTCTCTCTCATCTCAGCGGCGAGCTGCGTGCACTTAACATGGATTTGGTCAAGGTGAGCCGCGTTGCCTCCTCTCTGGGAGGGGACCTGACGAAGAGGAAGCTGGAGAAGCAGGAGAGCTGCCTGACCGAGAGTGATATCCTGGAGTGTGACTCCAATGTGCAGCTGCTCAATAACATCCGCCGGCAAGTTCGCTCTGTCAAGTCTGCACTGGACTTGGTGGTTATGCAGTCATTGCAGAAGGCCGCTGCCAAAATTGGTCAGGCTAGGCAGGATGCTGACTCCAACCTCTGTGACGAACGAAAGGAAAGCCTGCAGCAGGACCTAAGGCGAGCACAAGATCAGCTGGCTGCCAAAACAGACGAGTCAAGCCAGCTGCGCAACGTATCACTGCTAAAGCTAATGTGGAAAGAGAGCGCGCTGCATTTGAGCAGCAGCTGTCGATGGCAACGCTAAAGATTGGCACACTGGAGAAGCTGATCGAGAAGTTACGCCAGGACAGCCGTGACTTTGTAGAAGAGAGAAGTGCTTTCCAAAGCCGGTAAGAAATGGCTGCTCGTTAACAGGGTTCTGTGAAATGGGTTAACAATACATGTTTGTGGTGGGTGGTAGCAAGATTGCACTGTGATGCACTGTGGGCAAGCAGGATTCAAGCAGATCTGCTGCTGCATTTTTTCTGCAGCTAATTTTTTTAAGAAAAAAAAAGAAGAGCTGCACTTCGTCGCTTTGGCCCACTCATCTGCATCCTCTCCTTTACTTCTGAAGTAGGGCGTGCCTGGCTTGGCGGTTGCACATGTGCTGCTGATATTCTGTTGGTATGGCTGTCTGGACGCAAGCAACGGTGTGTACAATCACCTAGACAACAGTTTGTACGATCACCTAGGCAACAGTTAAAAGAAAATGATTGCCTAGCTAGTCAATGGTTTGTAGGATTGCCTTGTCAGGTCTTCATGCTGTGGTGTTCTGTGTTTTCTGTGTGTCCGGCATCCATTGCAATCCCGTAGGTGCGACGACTTCATTGGCCAACTGGCACAGGGAAAGAAAGAGGCTAGTGCACTGCGCGACGAGGCCAAGTTACTGGACACTATGCTGAACAGAGCTATTGAGCAGAAGCTCGCACTGACCGAGAAATTGGAGAACTATGAATTCGAGGCCCAGCGCAAGAGCATGGTGCAGGCGTCACCAGGGAAAAGCGAGGCGAAGAAGCCTACACGTCAATTGGTGGACTCGAAGTCACCCTTGTCTGCACGTTTGCGCTTCCTGCGTAGAGCCAAGTCTTAAGTGCGGTGGGACTATGGCCTGTGTGCTGTATTGACTACTACATATGGCTGGATCAAATTGTGCAAGAATGCCATAGTTGAACACGACTCAGAAGTGAGATCTTTTTTTTACCAAACACAACTTGAACTTTTTTGGTACATATCTACTTGTCTCTGTCTGGGCTGAGCCCCGATCACTTGAATGTGTATAAGTACAAGGTTCGCTAGGTTGTCCTCTCCAGCTTCATGCAGTAGCTACCAGAGTCGTGATCCTGTGGAGTGCTTTCACCTCCCCCCACCCCCCACACACACACGCACGAACAGCCTTTCGTCAAAATTTTCCTTATTGTCTTCAAGCAGTCGAGCATGGACTGTTTTTCTTACCTGGTCCTCATGAAAATTCTCTTTACCCTATCTATTTTCTGGCCCTGCAATTGCAGCACAGCTTGTGCACTACACGTCTGTTGTCTGACGTTACCCGTCCCCCGACTCTTCTATTTTGTTATTTATCACACCCTCCCTGGCTTGTGCCGCATACCGGTAGCACTACGCACCACACCCTGTCTTCTCATGCACATCACTCTATTATTAGGCTACACTGTTCTGCTTGGCCAGGAAACGTTTGGACTCTTTTACTTTCCTTCCAAGTACACATAGCACTCTCTTCTTGTAGCTTTAGAAAGGGAACTGAGAATATCTGGGAATGTTGTCACTGACTATCTGCATCTGTGCCCTGATCCATAGGCATAGAGGGTGGTGGCGTCCCGGAACCTCCAGCCGAGTCTCACAGTTGTATGTGCCGCACGCAGACCCTGAGAGGATACTATGATTTTGTTGGTCTGTGTATTGCAGGGAGTCGTCAAATACATGGTATTTGACTACTCCCTGGTGTATTGTACAAGTCAAGTAGAGTTGCCAGCTGGTTGCGCTCACTGAAATCCGACCCAAAGTGCAAAGCAGGCGCCCTAGCACGGCCCTCGACGCCCTGGAAGTGGCACGAATGCGGCTGGGTGCACACATACAATGATGTAATCGGAACTGATCTTCGGCGCCAGCTTTGCACTTCGGGTCGGATTTCAGTGAGCGCAACTGTATGTTCTACACCACATGCATGGAGCACCCAAACAGTTACCATGGTTACTGGTTACCCATGCAACAGACCCTACACTTGCTGGGGTTACCAGTATCAAGAGTACATAAATTCATAATGTACTCTTGCCAGTATGCAGCATGCTGCTTTGATAGAAGCAAACACTAGACGCACTGGTACCTTGAAGCAAGGAGTAGTAAAATACCGTATTTCACTATATTTGCAAATTGCAACACAAACACACAGCTGCACCAGTGATTGGATTGGGACGTATTTAAAGTTAAAATAATCCCCACTAGCAACGAACTAAAGATATCTTCGCCACCATGCAGGCCCAAAAGAAAGTGAGAAGACGGAAGAAAGAGAGATAAGCAGAAGAAGAGTAGTATGTGATGAAAGGGGAAGAGAAAAAGTGAAAGAAACCAAGCTAGTCGTTCCGACACCCGCCAAAGATTACATACCGAGTCAAACCTAAGAAAGTCAGTTTGACCAAACTCAGCCAACACACAGTTAGGCCCAGATACTATTGTAAAAATCATACAGAAGTAGCCAGTCACGCGGAAGGACGCAGGAAAAACAACAGGGAGGCAAATACATGTATGACGAACTAGAATTTGCGTCTCTGAAAAGTCTAGAACGCTGCTCAGTATTAGCACGTTCCGACCACAGAAGAGCAGAGAGAAAACAAAGAAGAGAGCAGATGGAGCAAGTAAACGGGACGACAGCATGTAACACATTGACATGCTATGTAGGCGAACTTCACACTCGCCCAGTTTTAGTTGATCGGTTGAGAACCAGCTCACTTCAATAAAACTAAGAGAAAGGCGTTCGCGGCACACGCAAACTAAACACTAAGGGGCCCTGCCCAACTGCCAGTCGGCTGCTGGTCAATTCTAGTCCTGGATGATTTTCAAAGCAAAGAAAGTAATCACGGAAAGGTTAAAGTGATGTCCGAACCCAATCAAGAACTGAGACGAAACCAGAAGAACAAACCAAAAAGAAAGAAAAGCTAGGCAAATAAATTGAAATAATGCTTGAGTGATCTAAGAGGAGAGGATAAAGGAGTAGGAGGAGGAGGAGGAAAGACTAAGTGGGTGTGAACTAGGCAGCAAGAGTGTATGATAATCTGGAGATTCTTACTGGCCCCACCAGTCCACTCCACCTGCATTCTGATGTGCAGCACGGTGTGTCTGCTGTTGCTGCTGCTGCTGCTGACCAGCATAGCCAGCGCCGCCGCCTCCGCTGTATGGCACGGAGTAGCCAGCGGGTTGCTGCTGGAAGGAGGCACCAGCGCCGTACGTTTGCGAGCCATACCCCCCAGCGGGTGCATTGTAGTAAGCCGAGCCGGAGCTGCCAGCACCACCGCCTGCATGTGATGACTGGCCACTCGGATTACCATAATATCCCTGCCGGAAGTCGCGTCCGCCAAAGCCACCATGTCTGAACACAAGATACAGCCAGGCATAAACACACAGCAATTAAGTGAGGATGCGATAAAAACAAACACTCCTACATGCACTCCTCTAAGCCATGCAAGATGAATGGCCGGAAGCTTACAAACTCACGATGACCGAACATTCTCAATGAAAAGCACGAGTAGATCCCTACACGAGAATGGGGAGTGTGAGCATGATATGCTTACCCTCTGCTTCGGTTTCCACGGCGTCCACCACCGGACCGGGCAGACTCATAGCCCATCGACTCGAGCCAGCCGGGAACCTCCTGCTTGGCCTCACTCAGCAAGTCAACCAAGTCACGAGCAACGTTGCGGTTCTTGTCATTGAAGAAAGAGGTAGCAAGACCTGACAACAACAAGAAGAAGATGACAGCGGAAAGTTGATAAAGAACTGTACTCAACATGAGCGGAACGCCCAAACAGAACTATACCCAGACGAATCCATACTTCCATAGCAAGGAAGCAAGAGTTAGTGCAAAATGAAAAAAGTGAAAGAGCAGCCTTACCCAAGTTTCCTACACGTCCAGTACGGCCAATACGGTGCACATACTCCTCAATGTCACTGGGAAGGTCAAAGTTGACAACATGCTTGACGTTTGGAATGTCAAGACCACGAGCAGCAACCTACAACATGAAAAAATCAGGACAAGAACACATACAAGGAGATTACTTCCTATTCGGGGCTCAGTCACTGTCGGTAGCGCGTATTCAAAGCTGAATTCTCAATGTATCCTAGGATGTGTTCAGTTGGTAGAACACAGTGTCGTGGAACTATGTACAGGCAAATCACACAATGACACGCTTTAATAGGTGCAATAAGAGTACAGGAAGGTGCAACTCCAGTATCAGTGTCACCACCCACAGGAGTTCCAAGTTGGCCACATTGCATGATGACATACACAGTCTACACAATGTCAAGCTTCAAACGCCCCTGCTAACCCATGGTGGACATTGCACGATCTGTGCACCCTTGCGCAAGCAAACGTGATTTAGGACTGTTGTTCACCTGCTGGAAATAACACCTAAAAGGAGCAGTGCATCAGAAGAATGTTCTGATACAACAGCGCTTCATGCGAGAATTTCATGATGCTGTGTTTGTGTGTACTTCTGGTGGACATAGAGGGCCTAGCATCACAATCAAGATCGGAAACAGCAAAACTCCAGAACATACCGCAGTGGCAACAAGGATAGGTGTGTGACCATTGCGGAATGATTTCAGGGCAAATTCACGCTCACGCTGTGACCGATCACCGTGGATGGATGTGGCAGGGTAGCCTTCCGAGGTCAAGTAGTACTCGAGCGCATCAGCTCCTTTCTTGGTCTCAACAAATACCAGAGTCAGGGCACCCCGACCTACAACAACACACATTCAAGCCAAACATATTCACGTAATGAACTAGTGAGTAATGAAGGGACACATTTTGTGAGCCACTTTGATACACCGAGAGTCTGCAGGATCAGGGCACAAATATTCAAGTGTCATTGCATAAGTTTGATAGCGATGCTCACCAAACTCTTTACACGCACCCGCATCTTGAAGTTACAGGTACACAGCCCTTCGCCTTTGTTGTTCGAATGGTGGTTATTTCAACTGCACAAACGGATGCACCTAATGTCCCAGGACCACTGACATCTCAGCACCCCCCCCCCCCTTCGTTGTATTGTACTGGCACGACCAACACAACGCGCACGTTGCCCGATGATTTTCCGGAGCATGAAACTCAGTTGCAACAGACTAGCCTTGCTCCGCGGTGTAATCTCTAGCTAATGCCCACGTCCTCTAGCTGTCAGCTGTAGCAGCAATATCTCCTCAGGATCTGAATCAAAATCACGCAATTTTTATCCCTGAAACCATCACGGCATTCGCTCTCCAAGCTGCAGGGAGAGGAATGGCAGCGATGGCATAAATCACCAAGGCAGTGGAGCTCTTCCCAAGCAACTATTTATGGCCTTCTTGGTCACCTATCCTTACTGGACACGGATGAATAGGTAAAACCTGCATATCCCAAATTTGACACAATTATTGTGGGTCTGGTATTGACACAATATTTACGTTCCCGCTCATTTGGTTGTTTGTGCATGGTACTAATGGGGTATTCACACGACAGGCAAATCCACGTGCACCGGAAAGTTGCTATGGTATTTTACCTGTGAACGAGAAAAGTGCCTGAAAGTGGCTGAAAAGTGAAAGCTTTCCCACTTTCACGATAATCGTGGCGTGCACGAGTACATTTACACCAAAAAGCGAGAAACAAGCCTTGATTTTTTACGCGGCTCTTTTAGAGCATGATAATTATCGTATGTGTGTTTTGAAAATTTGAAATACCCATGGCTACTGGTCGGTGAAGCATTCAAAAATGCAAACGTGCCTGTCGTCGAGTGCAGCTGTGTGAATCCACACAGTCACTCCCTGTAAAAACATGCAAGTGCCTGTCGTGTGAATACCCCATAATGTTCATGATGTTCTCCTGTCACTGTGTGTCCAAACGGTCGTCGCCAACTTGTCTAAACCAGATTTCCAATGTAGCAATCTACACTTTCAGAAATAAGCATACTGCATTCGTGATTAGGATTCCGGACGTGGCTACACTTGCACGCTGGACTACAATACGTGGATACATGGACCCATTTCTAGCTATAAATTCAGAAAAACAGAACCCCATGGAACATTGCGTTTAGAGTAGCTCATATGCATGTACATTTGGGACTTCTTCGACCCTCTGGCCATCACATCTCACCACACACAACAAAGGTAAATGCCACTTGAGCAGCCATAAATCAAGGAATGCAAGCGACACAGCCAACATGGCTTCGTACCTGAAGCATTGATCAGATCAAGCAAGAAGGAGCGCTTGTCGTTCTCATCGACCCAGACAACCTTCTGCGTAATGTTCTCGCTCGTCGATCCAACGCGTCCAACAGCCAAGAAGATGTAATCGTTCAAGAAGTCTCTGGCGAGCATCTGCGGATAAGGGAAAGAGAACATCACCGACAAGAATTAGCACCCAAGCACGGTGCTACTAAAACCAAGAGTACATAACAGCATGTGCATCTTTGCATTGGAGTGTGGTGCGGCACGCTACCCACATTTTGTACAGCACCACATAGGGGAAGGGTCCTTCTTCACGGAAACAGCACCAGTACGAACCTGAATCTCCTTGGGGAACGTAGCGCTGAACATGAGAGTTTGGCGTTTGCCTGGTGGGGGCATATGCTCTTGCTGCACTATGCGTCGGATCTGGGGCTCGAAACCCATGTCGAGCATACGGTCAGCCTCGTCCAGGATGCAGAAGCGAATCTGATCCAAGGAGATTCTACCACGCTCGATCAGATCAACAAGACGACCAGGTGTAGCGACGAGCAAGTGGCAACCACGGTCAATGTTCTGAATTTGGGAGCTGATGTCAGCACCACCGTAGCACACACATGGGCGCACACGTGAACGGTATGAGAACTGCAGGAGCAAGTAAAGCATAAAGAAAGAACAGGCTTAGTTACTTACAAATGGTGTAGTCCAAGCACAATCCACACATGGCTTACATTGAAATTACCACTACCAAACCAAAGGCACCCGGGACATTGTTCATAAAGTGCAACAGCAAAAGAACCTGGGGGTATTTGGAAAGGGCTCGTCAACACGACTTGAATATTACCGTAAAGTATCGCCAGAGCGCCCCACCATCTCATCCTTTCGTGGTCGTTTTGTGGAGGTTGTCTGCTGTCTGTAGGTCATACGACATGAACCTTGTACACATATTGCACGTTATGCAGTCAATCCGTGCCTTCGAGAGGACGCAAGCTCCACACAAAACCTGCCAAGTGTGACCTTAGTACACTAAGATTCCCACATCGTACACACTTCGTTGCACTCTGCCATACGATTTTCCTTTCTCTGGCTGTAAAATCAAGGTGGGGCGCTCTCGCGAGACGGGGCGCTCTGGCGGTACTTTACGGTATAAGGGAAGATAAGATAGAGACTGGGTATACTATGTCTAAAACGATGAAGATTCAAATTTAGACTCACTTTGCGAGCTTCATCATAGATCTGGACGGCCAGCTCACGAGTAGGAGCCAGGACCAAAGCGAGAGGATGCTGTTTGCGACGAGAGTTGTAGCTATGACCAGAAGACTGTACAGAAAAGAATACAATATACATCCAAAACACGACCAGGCATCATGAGACTAGACATGCACACTGTGAGAGATGGATAAAAAAAGCCCAGCATCAAATTGATCCCAACAAAACGAAAAAAGACGGACAAATCTGTGGATGGGATAGACAATTATGGCATGGGGGAAATGACAGCATAACTTTGGTACAAAGAACCTCAACATACATGGCGCATGGTTGGCTAGCGGCCACATCACGCTTTTTCCGGCTAGTGCCACATGATTGTGAACAAATAACTACTTTTGGGAAGGACACTGCATGCGCCATCCCATGAATGAGTTCTTCTACAAGAACAGAATGTATGACCCCTGGAGGTACGTTATACTGAAGTTGCACTGCATATGCACAAGAGCAACAGTTGGACACACATGCTATGTCACAACTAACAAGCTGTTATTGTGAAATCATTTGCACTCCATCAATATATTTCTCATTCTCACCTCCGGAGGAGGCGGTGGGCCGCCTTTGTAAAGCTGGTCCAAAACAGGCACAAGGAAAGCAGCAGTCTTTCCAGAACCGGTCTGGGCACAGGCCATCAGATCACGCTTGTTGCCAATGATAGAGATGGCGTACTTCTGAACGGGCGTTGGCTTGGTGTAATTGCATAGCTTGATGCAGTTGCAGATTATCTCGCACAAATCAGACTCCGCGAACTCACTGATATGGGCTGGAGCTTCGCGACCAGTGGCTTCAACGGGAATATCCTCATACTTGTCAAAGTTGATTCCACTGCGGATGTCTCCATACAGCTCCTTCTCCAAGCGCTTGTCAGCGGGAAGAGGCTTTGTCCAGTCCTCAGCACTGGAAGAGTTGAAGTCAATGTCTGCCAGAAATAGAACAAGCAGGCAAATGAATCTATTAGCTTTCGCTTTGGACTAAAGGTGGGTTTCCTATTGGTGTAGTGCACATACTTTTCTCTCCAATCCCCACCCCTCTCCCTCTCTCTCTCAAAGTTCATCACTATCTAAGCGATAGCATGGTTCAAGTGCGGTGGTTTCCATACTGCTATTGCTCTATTGTGCTGAGCAGATAAGACCCATATCATATTCTATTCTTCGAAGAAGGATAGAATGTCAGACAGTGGCAATAACAATGGTCCATTGGGGACAAACAGTCAGGTGGGCTCTTTGTTGCAGTATCATGAAAGCTTGCTCTTATTCCTATAGCAGCGGCGGTTGTGAAGAGGAAAGCCAGCACAATGAATTAAGCGGCGTCGCATGTTTTTACAGAAACAAAAGCAGAAGAGAAAAGGGTCCTTATCATGACTACATAGCTTACCGCGATATGAGGAGTAGTTGCCACCTCCCCTCTGGCCTGAGCCATATCCGCCAGACTGGCCACCTTGTCCTCCAGATCCACGGGCATTTGATGACATATATGAACCTGAAAAGACAAATGTGGAGCTGAGTATTAAAGAACGGAATTTGGGTAGACACTCACTCCCACAACACTGCAGATCCAAACTGGTTGTTAAACGTTTCGGTGCCTGGCCAGTCATGTAAAAGCAGCACTGATGTCCAATGCTGTTGGAATGGGTGCACCCAAATTCCTTTCTAGACAGATGAAGGTGCAAGAATCCTCAAGACGGCTTCATGTCTGAGAAAACCATAGGAACTGTGAAATGTGATCTCGCCAATTTCGCTCAAATGTTGCAGGTAGGTTTCCTTTGGGGTGTAGAGCCACTGTGCAGGGCAATTGAAACAGTTTTCGAAGGAAACCTCGAAACTGGCATACCCCTAAAAAAAGGCCCAAACTCACACGAGCGGGATTCACAGAAGCTTTTTTGCGATGCGACGCGATCTGCGATGGAGGCGTGCGATGCGAACTCGCGAAATACCATTCACAGAAAAGTCAGCGATGCGACAACGCCTTGCGGATTTGGCGCGAAGTTCAATGCAGATACGTCACCATGGTATTCACGCGGTTTAGTACAACTTGTACAAAATTACAGGCAACTCTTGAACCTTTGTACAACTTTGCTGTAGAAAAGGTCAAAATCATACGCCAAATTGCTTGTCGCATCGCAAAAGTTAAGCCAAGCTCAACTTCTGCGATGGCACAGTTGCGGCGGTTGCGTGGGCTGCGATTTGGGGATTTCCCGTTTTGCGGCTGTCGCATTACTGTGAATCCTGCTTTATGGGTCTACAGACGAGCCACAGGATAGCATACACGAACAAGCTACATGTACGAACAAAACAACATCAAGCCATGATGCCTCACGCTACGCTAGCATCCCCTGATGCCACACATATTCGTGTTGAAAATGGTATCTTCTCGACGGCAGAGCGCAGCGACAGAGGCGAGAAGTATTTTCTCGTCACAGCGGTTTTTTTCTCGTGTTTTTTTTCTCACAAGTGAGCAGTCATCTGATCAATTTCTTTTTACTCGTACATCTTCACATGTTCTCTAAACCGCTGCGCATGAGCACGACTGGCCAGTCGTCTTGAGGTACCCACCCTCCCTCCCTGCTTTTTGTACTTGTCAGATTAGCCACTTGGGGTTTTACACCCGGTTTTTTCCCTCAAAAAAATAATGCGTCCGTCGGCGCGAGGGTTTTTTCCCGGCTGGCTCGGCCCAGACGAATTAATCTGACGGTCCCAAGTGGTGCTTCTGGTTTTCGGTCATTGCTCTCTCAGTTGCTGCCATTGCGTTGCTTTCACAGAATATCCATGTGCTCTGTCCCTTCTTCCGCTATTCTACAATTCCGCATCCTTCCATGTAAAAGAACGTGGTGTCACACTTCTGGCCCTCCTAACCGCAATACAAATGTGCTGTTGTTTGGTGTGTAGCGAGTGTGGCTTATCGCTGTGCGAGAATAGTCAATTTACAAACGCTGATCGCAGCTCGAGCTACGTCCGCAATTAGAAGAACTATACACCAGCAGAATGTATAACACCTCTTCTAGCACTGAGAACATGTCTGTCAACTTCGTTTTGGGTTAAATCCTTTTTTTATTCGAACAGGCTGGGCAACTACAGTATGTGCTGCGTTTACTTTGTCCAAACACTTCCCATACAAATTGCCTGGCATGTTCCCGCAAGTAGAATTTGATGTGAAATGAATGATTACAATTTAGTGCTGCCTACCCAAAGAAAAAACTCCAATGCTCACCTCCTCCTCGTGAAGAGTAGTTGCCACCGCTTCTCTGGCCGGAGCTATAACCGCCACCTTGGCCTCCAGATCCCCGTGCATGTGATGGCATATACGATCCTGAGCCTGAAAGACATAGACAAAAGTGCATGTTGTCAGCACCACATGAAAATGCAGATTCTGAATGTCGGGTGCATTTTCAGTTTTCACACACACACACGCACACACGCACACACTGCGGCTGATATTGATCTCGGACGTCCCAGTTAACACTTTTCATGCAGTGCGTTTGGCAAATTCGAAACACAGAATGGATGCATGTCCCCTTCATGCGATGTTTACTTTCCTTGCAACAATATGCTTAGGTCGACTTCCCACTACGTACTAAAAAAACACCTTTTTCAAAGCAAATGGAACGTTTATGTTCCCCCCTTTCCCACTGTATTGCACTTAGCAATGTTTTCATGTGTGATTGCATCCTGGAACGGTTAGCTGTGGTACGTACCCTCGCCACCCCCAAAATGTAAAAACGTGCAGTTATAGGGTGCTGCGCTTGTGTTTCTCAACGCACTCACATTAGCTGTTTCTGGGCTGCAATATGTTTTTCCGTGTCACACCGCTTGTACGGGAAAATAACACAATGAATGCAATATTCGAAAAATGGTATTATAAATGAAAACAAATAATACACGATAAAACCTCAATTGATGTTTCTATGGGGATCTGTATGGGAACGTAATGCCACGATGGATTTGTACTAGGGCTGAGTCGCATTTTTCTTCGGGTATCGGGTTTGGGTAGCACGGGTGCCCGATCGGGTGATGCTTCCATGGTAACACCACAATGCACCCCTTCCCTTACACATTGGGTAGACATGCGGAGTATTACATGAATTAATATTTGTACACGTGCACTGCACATGATGTCATCTGCGACTTCGGGTTTTCGGGTACTACAGGTCTACTCTCCATATAACGTAATCTCTGGGACCACGCAAAAAGTATGTTATATCGAGAGTTATGTTATGTAGAAAACCGTGTGTAAAAAACAAGATGCACCTCAAAATGAAGGGTATTACAAGGCGGGTTCAACCGTGCAAACATATACACACTGTACCACCATCGACATCAGATACCATCAATGACGCAGAATATATGCACAATAGACTAAGCTGGCTAGCTACGGCTACAGCTTGATTGTACCGCGCACGTGAATCTACGTAACGTTGTATCGAGAGTGCACACGTCGGGGACTGCGCCGTAGGGTGCGTTATGCCGAGGTTTACGTTATGTAGGACTAAACTGGCCTAAACTGCCTACAGCTACCGCTTGATCGTACCGTGCAAGTGAATTTATGTTGTATCGAGAGTGCGCACTTCGGGGACCGCCGTAGCGTGTGTTATGTCGAGGTTTATGTTATGTAGGATTATGTTGTGTAGAACAAAATTTGTATGGGAGTGATGCTGTTTCGGCGCGGGATTTGATTTTTTATGTACTAGCGAGGTTTATGTACAAGTGAGAGTTGTTATATCGAGAGCAGACCTGTATCAAGAGTGTATAAAGAGTATGCAACTGTGGTTATGGGTCAGTGCGCGGCACGCTGCCTTCATTACGTAACTTGCCTTCATCACGCTCTGAAAGCATGCATTCAAACTCACAATTTCTCGTACGAGCCCATCCGTTTTGCTCGATTCATAACAGGAACCTACGCGATCCCTAAATTCTGGAGCGTGAACTCCAGTTCCGTACGAAAGTTCATTTCAAACCAGAGGGAAAGTGAGGTGTTTGACTTTCGCAGTGCGTGGACTGCAGCTGAATGATGTAATGAAGGCAGCGCGCCGCGCATCTGGCCCATAGAAAAGAGATCACAGTTGCATATTGTTTATGGATTCTTGGTACTATTCTGAACCCGTCTACCCGAGGTCCTCACGGGTAGCACGGGTACCAGACTACCTGTGCACACTAGGCCCAGACAGATCCTGCCGGCAATTCTTTCGGCAAAATATCGAAGAATTGAAAGAGCGGAAATTGCCGGCAAAATCGGAGCAAAATATCGAGATGCTGGGTAAATCGATGCCCGATACTTGGATTTCCTTGTTTCTTACCCGTTCAGCAGGATACACTGCCCAGGACGAGATCATGTCACCGAAATAATCACTGCGATTCACTGTGGATCGACATGATTTTAGAAGAACTCAGGGACACGTGCGTGGAAACCCGTGTTGAGAAACCGACCCTGCGATTTTTATGAAGCGTTGTACGGGATTGTACGGGAAGTGGATAACATACACGTTTTTCCGGAGCAATATGGAGCAAAATATAGAGTTCCTTCTGCCAGGCTCGGCAAAATATTGAAGATTTTGCAGCAACATTTTGCGGCTAAATATCGAGGCGAGCGGAGCAAAATCTGTCTGGGCCTAGTGCACACCACTAATTTGTACGCAACGTGAAACCAGCCTTACAAAGTCAATGCACATCCCCTCAGAAAATGATTCGAACTCAAAATTCGACTTTGGTTTCTCATTTGTACAATTTTCCGCTTTCTATTTTTCCAGAATCAAAAATCGTCATAAGCAAAGTTTAACCGGTCTGTCAACTTCCCCCTCGTTTGTCCCCACTATCGCCAACGCTATTATCTTTTATCCCTACATGAGTGGGGATGTTACGAACGACAACCTACCACTCCCGGAGTTCCAAGAGTAAAGTGAACGGCGGGAATCGTGCCTCCCACGAAGTTGAGGGCGAAAAACTTGAAGTGTAAACTATCATGAATTGGTACTGGCAAGTCCATCATGACAAAAAGCGACCATCTCTCCAGACACGTCGGTCATAATATCAAAGCAAAACCACCAAATGTGGAAGTTTTCGGCTACACAAACAGGCACAAGAAGAAATATAAAGTGCTCACCCCCTCCGCGTGAAGAGTAGTTTCCACCGCTCCTCTGGCCTGAGCTGTAACCGCCCGCTTGGGCACCTTGGCCACCTTGGCCCCCTTGTCCTGCACTGGGTCCAGATCCTCGGAGGTGTGGCGGCACATAAGATGATCCTGGAAGTGGAAGACAACATTGAGATAGTGCTTTCATCAAGAGGGGGGAATTCCTCGCAAACAAGGTCTTTACAGACACGTCATCCCGCTTCGTCTAATTTCGAGAACTACGGACACTTACTGGTCTGTGCCGAGTTACCGGAACCTCCTGAGCGGCCATTCAAATCCAAAGCAGCAACCTGGAAACGAAATACGGACCAGGCAAGTATCAACGAATAGTTGAAGTTTGTCCCATGGCTGTCGAAAACTTTGGCTGAAGCCGGAAAACACTATTTATCTCACTAACCTGCTGCTCTAGACCTGAACCATCTTGGTGTGGTGCATGACTCATAACGGAAAGCCAAACAAGAAAGATATACGAGAAGATAACAAGAGAAGCAAAGTTGTTGTTGCTGCAAGGGAATCTTGTTGAAAAGGAAGGAAAAGAGGACCCGAGCACGTGTTGTCAGCGCCAGCATATGCAGATCTAGACCACAGATCTGTTGATCTGATACTGGAGTCTGTAGAGTGCAGTCTGCATTGCAGATCAGACTTGCCAGGGACTCGTAGATCTACGATCGTACAGACTGGACTACAGTGCGGCCTACTACTAGTACTAGTGCTACTGCTAGCTTGCCACAGCCAGGCCCAGGGTGCAAGGGACCGGGGCAATCCGGGGTCAACGAAACGACGTGTGTTACACCCAGGGCCTAGGGAGTCGTAAAATACGGTATTTTACGACTCCCTGGTTACACCCGGCCCGCGATATACATGCCGAGCTTGCAGGCCTCTTCATGCTTCAACTAACTGTTACTTCAATACAAGGCTTGTCACTCGCTCATCCTAGATAATTGGCTAGAATCTACGTCTACCCAATTTAGGCCCCAGCGGCAGATGCTAGCTAAATGTTGTCAAGATGCTTTTTGGGATGCTAGCTGACAACTCAGAAAGATGCTAGTTTGGATGCTAGACAACACGAATTATGCTAGTTTGGATGCTAGACAACACGAATTATACTACCTATTAATGGTAATGGGAAACATTTGGGTTGAAAACGGTGTTCCGTGCTATTTATGAATTCTCACAAAGCAGGTATGTAAAAAGAGTTTTTAAAGGTGCGATGTTGGCATCATGTTGCTATGGAAATATTTGCAATGCAAAAGAGCAAATACCAAGAAGTACCAATGGCAATTATTATTATTATTATTATTAAATTTTGAATAGGGCAGTCCCACAGGCCTAGGGCCTTTTTACAGGGCAATGTGGGTCTTGGTCACAACTAGGTAATGCAAACAAATTGAATGTAGTGCATGCAATTATCAATGTGGTAGTACCGTAATACTAGTTTCATAGTGTAATCTAGACCGAATTCCACATCCAGAATGCCAAAATTGGCAAAAATGTATCGGATGCCGGTAAAAACTGCTGTTTATGCTAGCATCGTGTGGAGTCACAAAAAGGCCCTTTTATGCTACTTTGGGTGCTAGCATTTGCCGCTGGGGCCTACTACCCATCGATGATTTTTTTTACATTTGTGCACAACCATGATAACCAGAAAAATAATAATATGTAGCGCAAAATAAAGAGAAGGAAAATAATAACCGGTCATTCAAGCGCTAAATACAAACAGAAGAAAAAGAAATCATAAGTCTATACGCGCTAATTACTGCGCTTAAATTATAATGAAGGGAGAAAAACTGGAATCCGCGGAAATTATAACATACAAAATGATACAGAGAAAAAGGGGAAAAGCTGGGGGAAACACTGACAGGTTGCCTACAGATGACACTCGGAGACAGCAAGTGTGCCAGAATATGCATGAGGGTCATACCTGCTCGACTTGTGGCGATGCCCACGAAGGCATGCCACGGCCGCCTTCACGAGAGCAAAGGACAGCTGGGCTCTGATCAAAGCCATTGCCACAGAGAAAGGCTCACCATTCTTCTCAGACTTGATGCCTGCAATGCGGCCAAAGAGGGTGGAGGCTGCTGGCCACCAGTCGTACTGAACACCACGGGGATGAAGGAAGCGTGCTCAACGTTGATAATGCGACTCTCGTAACTCCTCCCAGGGGCGTAGGAGCGGTTTTGGAAGTGGTACGACCGAAGGTCGGCGCGGCCGAAGGTCGGCGCGGCCGAAGGCCGTTTTGTAGGGGGGTCCGGGGGACCTCCCCCTGGAAAATTTTGTAAAAAAGACACCAAATCCTGCGTTCTGGGAACTTCTGGCACAGTTTATAAAGTCATAGAATTATTTCACGGTCAGAAGAGACGTGCATGGACATGCACAGATGCATGGCAGATCTACGAGTACGAGTCTAGAAAAAGGACAAAATCTGATGCGCATACCGGTATGCATCGATGGATCCTGATTTTTTTATTACGGTTTTGCACGTTCCAGACGGACCACACTTTTCGAAAAGTGGTACGGCCATGGTCGTACCAGTCGTAGCGGGTGCTACGCCCCTGCCTCCTTTTCTCCTCTTCATGCTTTCTGTAGCTGCCAGCGATCATTGGTTTCCGATTTGAGGGGGCAAATGGGTTGAAAACCCGGACATCTAGAAAGGTCCTCTCAAACCGTCCACCGTGTAGACCGCTGACAACTACATCCAGCCGAGCTTGTTCTGTCGTGATGGTGGACCGCAGCGGAAAGCGCTCACCGGTCACAGGCTGGAGGTGCGGCTCAACATGAACATCATGTGCGACGTCGCGTAGCAGTGCTGCTGTTAGGTCTCCAGTGGCCTCGGACCTCGTTGTGCCGTAACGAGGGATAACCACCGATGGCACGTGACATGGCATGGGTGGTCGAGAATGGCTTTCCACACGCGCATGTTGCAGGTAAGCGATCAGGATCCCATCCATACCTGAGGCATATGGCATCGCGGAAGGCACCCTTGTGCAAGGTGAAGCCATGCCTTCGCAATGGCCGACATGTCAGCCAACTTGAGGCACCTTTCTCCGAGGCAAGCTGTAGGGTGCGTTGCAGGTCTGGCTCAGTCGAGTTGGGCCATCAGGGTGACGACATGGTCCTTCTCCTTCTTTCCAGCGGCTGTTCTAGCTGTTGCCTTCAGTACCCGCATCCGCCCTGAGATGCCTTCCATGGATGACTGCTGTTGGATGATGTTGTCAATGAGTGGATGGGTGATGGACAGAGAGCGCTGATGTTCATCGCTCAGCTGACTGGGGTCAACAATACCGAGACGACACGGAAGGTCAAGCACAGCGCGGATCGCCGAATTCGGTGGGTGACGCCCTGTCAATGCCGGAATGAAATCATTGCGGATCACATCCTCAAGTGGCTGTAGCAGATCTGCTGCTCCTGGTACAGTACGAACCAGAAATGACCATTTGTGCTTGAGGCCTTGGCTAAATGCGGTGTAGGCGGCTTGCGGTTGGCTAAGTGCATGGGTTGCGAGGCGCTTGACTTCTTTGCACCATTGCTCCGCCTTTTGAGCGACGTACTGATTGCAATACTGCTCTGTGCCCAGGACAGCTCCAAGATGTCGGTGACCGTCAGCGGTTACGCGAACCTCAGTGTCGGCGAACACTTCCCGCGCGATGTTGAGGAACTGTGGTTTGACGAGTAACACAGACTTTGCAGCATTTGTATAGTAGCCGTAAGCTGGACCACGCGTTTCCAGGATAGACCATCATTCTCTGAGACGAATTATCTTACTTGCAGCTGTAGAATCATCAGCGTACCACGCTTGTACGGCGTTGGCTGCAGCAGCTTCGCGGATTAATGGCAACGTCCCTAGAGCATACATCACCATGGCGAGGGGATCCCCCTGCGTTGTGCCCTCAGCAGACTGAAGTCAAAAGTCTCCCCGTCGACAAACAGCTTTGCGGGCTGTCGGTACGTGTTGGTAAGGACTATGGCGAGTGCGGGGCATAGGTGTTGAACATTCAGGAGACACACAGAACGGTTTAAGCGATTGAACGCGTTGGAAGCGTCTGCAAAGAGAATACCCTCTGTGTCGTCCTGCTGGAAGAGTTCTCTCATGGCATGGATTGCTACCTCTATGCCAGACTCTTGGCCCCCACAGAGCTGGAGACAACCGACCGACTGGATTATGTCCGCCTTGGTGACTTTGAGGATGGCTTTGCTGATAATCCGTCGCACAACCTCGCCGACACCAATCGGCCTGACTCCGGGGTCCTTATCAAGGGCAATGAGGCGGCAGGCAAGGAAGGCATCGAGTGAGGATGGGTCAATGTGTTCAGATGCCAGCCGTCTTGCACTTTGGGCTAACGCATCGCACAGGGCATCAGATGCCGTCCTGAAACCCGTACACAAGTGGCGCCATCATGCAGCAGCGTCCATTCCTGAGGGGCCTGCTGCACCTTGTGTGTCAAGCGCAGCTTGACGGATGATATCCCTGTTGATAGCCGCGAAATATGTTGGATGCGGCGGTGGTGGGGGTGCGTCTGGTATGACCGCCCTCGATGAAATCGATACGCATTGGGCACTTGGCCATGTATGGGCTTAGCGCTTGTGCATGCATAGCGGCAAGGTGCGGTGCGAAATACAGTACTCAGTAGGCCCTTCGAAGCTTCGCGAGGTTTCGACTGTATTTTGTACTCGTACTTGTATTTCTTGCATTTGGGAAGTTTTTTTGCTTGCAGGATATACATGAATCATGATGTTGTACATAACTCACCTACTCATCAGGCTACTGTGGCTAGCTAGGCCGTGTACTCGTAGTGAGCAAAGCAGCTTTTTTGTTTGTTTTGAAAAGCACAGTTACCGTATTATCTCTAATATAAGCACAGTCTCCAATAATAGCATGTCTCCAATAATAGAACACCTTGGGGCGGCATTCAAAAAATAAGGTGCTCAGTCTCCATTATAAGCACACTGTGTAAATTCATTATCTGTACAGGCGAAAACCCCCTGAAATGTGTGTGTCTGACATGAATTAGGCATGGCAACAAGCCTCTGAAATGAGGTTGAAATAATAATGGAAGTCTCCAATAAAGGAACGTCTCCAATAATAGCACGGGGCTGAGGTACATTGAAAAAATTAATTAAAGGGGAAGTTAAGGCAAAAATTAAAATTTCACCAGTTGTAGTCTTCGGGGTGCTGAGTCGAATGGTCTTGGTCCGAGAAAGCTGAGACGCTCCCTTCCTACTTGAATCCCAATCGAACTCGCGCACTTCCACCAAAACTGGGTGACTGCGCCCTACTAGATGGGGATTTGTATGCAAAATGTCACTAAAAGCGCCATTTCGTTCTTATAAAAGCACGGATGACCGCGATTGGCCCATATGTTGTAGTCTTTTGGACGCTGAGTCGACTGGTTTTGGTCCGAAAAGGCTGCGATGCAGCGTTCCTCCTTTATTCCCAATCGAACATGGTTGAACAAGTGGTCACGTGCTCCTGCGTACACCAGTCAGCTGGTCACCGTGCCTGCAGGGTACAACTAACTTACTAGCCTGTTTGACCTTTTTGGGTGCAGTCCTGTCACTCGAGTTGAACTCGAGTTGAACCTTGGTGTGAAAGTTGTCGCCTGCTGGCGTGGTGACCACCATGTACCAGGTGATTTGGGCACCCAGGAGCACGTGACCACTTGTTCAACCATGTTCGATTGGGAATAAAGGAGGAACGCTGCATCGCAGCCTTTTCGGACCAAAACCAGTCGACTCAGCGTCCAAAAGACTACAACATATGGGCCAATCGCGGTCATCCGTGCTTTTATAAGAACGAAATGGCGCTTTTAGTGACATTTTGCATACAAATCCCCATCTAGTAGGGCGCAGTCACCCAGTTTCGGTGGAAGTGCGCGAGTTCGATTGGGATTCAAGTAGGAAGGGAGCGTCTCAACTTTCTCGGACCAAGACCATTCGACTCAGCACCCCGAAGACTACAACTGGTGAAATTTTAATTTTTGCCTTAACTTCCCCTTTAAGGACCGTGCTTATATTAGAGATAATACGGTCAGTTATGATGTGAGAATTTTGGCCACAAGGTACCGGTACCTGCATGCACCGGTCCTATCCCACTAACCGTAACAGTTCGATCATTGATTATTCCTGCTTGCTTCCAGTCTGTGAAGATCATATCAGGGACTTCTTTACAACACAGGGTGATATACATGTACTTATAATCGAGTACAAACCATGCATCGCTGTACTCTTGCTCTAATGGATTGGTATGGATGAGCAGATAATTGGTGGCTATAGCTGTTGCATGTACCGGTACATGAACTTGGATTAGAACTTCACACTTCGAAGTGATTGGCAAAAAAAGTTGTGAAACATCGCCAATGCATCAATTCAAAATTGTCCCATCAGGACATAGCATAGAGCGTAACAAAACTTTTGTAAAAAAAGGTTGTGACACACCAGCTAGCTGCGTTCTACTGCAGTGACCCGAGATGGGTCCAAAGCAGGTAATGCACGCCATTGAGTGACCCAAGGCAACCAAAAAATAAATCTCAAAATGAACTACATGTATACTAAAACCGAGAAAACAACAGATACCGATACCTCTAAAAACGCATGGGCAATACATGTCCACAACCAAAACAAGTTGATAAGAAGTGAAGGTACAAACGCAAAATAGACAAGAAAAGGTCCTGAAAACTAAAGAAAATAAGTTTCGCCATCTAGGGACACTAGCCCAACGCCAGCGCAGGAACAGAAGGCAGAAGACGCCAAATATAGTAGTAAATTGAGGTCTCAAAATGGCATTTTGATCAATAAGCACACGAGCAGTGGGAGGGAGAGAAGGTAGAGGCTAGGCTAGGGACTAGATGCCAGTGGTTACGAAGCATGCGAAAATCACGCGGGCTAAGCATGGGAGAGCGTGTGTGTGTGTGGACGAAAAGGTTGAAAGGAAAGACAAGCCTTAGTACTAAGCAGCTAATGTGTACTGTCAGTGAGAATTGAACCGGCACACTTGACAACATCCCTAGCAAGGTACAGTATAACACTACTCATAGCTGAAGGGCAAATCTAAGCACAGGCTCTGTTCCAGCAAGATGGTTAGCTAGACTCTAAACAGGAACTCAGCATGATCCAGAAGGATAGAAGAGAGGGGAGCAATGATCAAGGGAAATATAATGGAAATACAGCCATACTGAAAAAGCACAAGTGTGTCCTGGCTTTGCTGTGATGCATCACAGGTATATCATTCTAACCTAGGAATGGGGTTGCAATAATCATAAATTGCAAACAAAGGGTACCTCCGCCTTCTGTACTTGCACAAGCACCGCAATACTGCCAACAGCTGACGTGAGACTGAAAAAAAACTTAGAAGATATCTGGACATTCATCAAACTTCTCCCGTTCCCAGTAATCACCCTTGTATACCCACTCACGAGTCTCCGTGTATGGGTTGATTGCTTGTTGGAACCATCTGCACACACGGCAGGAGAGAGAGAGAGGGAGAGAGAGAGAGAGAGAGAGAGAGAGAGAGAGAGAGATGGGAAGCTCTGTCAGCATTATAAACACAACATACTGTAAATGGTATGCGAAAGGCCAACTTCACCTTCTAACTTTGAACAGAAATGGAACAAAAATGATCTTCTCCAGTGCATGCAGTTAGTTACCTTGGTGCCCACTCATCCTTGCGCTGCTCCCTGGCCTTTCGTGCCGCACGCTGCTTCTCCTCAAGACGGTGTTTCTCTGATGCAGAGGGCTCTACAGAGACGCAACACGGCACATGACACATAGAACACGGCACACGGCATTATTATTTTGTATTGCAACATCTCAAGACTCAGTGGAAACACCGGCCAATGCGAAGAGAATGGGTGATAGCCAGCCACGGCCTACATAGAGGATAAGAGCGGGGGCAGTCTCGAGAGAGGGCTGTGCTGGACTGTCCCTGCAAATCCAAAAAAATTCTAACATCGTTAGTGATTGACTGTGGCTGTGAGCCATTGGTTGCTCACACGATCCAAGAACAGAACACCTTTGTTTTCAGTGACGCCGGAGGCCAGGGCAAGGCGGCAACTGCTTTCTACAAGCGGCTTGGATTGGTGATCAGTGAAAAGAAGAACGAGCCTAACTCCATCACTATGGCATTGATTAGGTACAGGTTGGGACTCATCCTTCTTCGCTCGGCTATCATGTGTCTCCGAGGACACCGGTCCCGGAGCAGAGTTGGAGTAGCTCAACCCTCTTCAACTAAACTGGTGGCTGCCGAATGCAATCTGCTTTTGTGAACGTCTGCTGCACGTGCATGGTACTCGGACGAACATATTACCTGCTTTCTTCTTTCTTCTTACCGTATGTCCGCACCTTTACAGCCATGGTGGTATATTCGATTATGAAGCCAATCTCAGTTATAAAGTCATGGGCTTCATAAATAAAATGAAGGAATAAGTACTATGCTAACAAACTTACAGTCCCGCAGGAAGGGTGAACAAGTGGATTTAGATTGAAATATCTGTGACAGTGTAGACTTTGACTTTTATAGCATCGCGTAGTGCGTGAGTCATTTTGCATCTAAAATAGCTAGGAAAGCAGCGGTATTTCGAATATAAGGCCATGGCTTTAAAGGCGCTGACATACGGTATCATGAAATTCATGTCTTGCCTATGCCGTTTATTATGCCCGTAAAAGAGGCCTGGTCAACCAAAGTCTAAGAAAAAAGTTCAAGTCCAATCTAGCCTGTCGGACACGGAAGTGGATTTGCATGCGCACAGCAGTCTGTCCCTGGGAGCCCTACACATACCACATGGTACATGCAAGGCTCCCTGGTCTGTGCTGCGCACACCATGCATACAACACAGCGCCCGATCGATCGTGGAACTCCCTTCGGCTCTTAAAAAAATTGGCCCAAAACGTGGTCCGGCAAAAACCAACCGGACCGGCGGCTACGCCCCTGCAAAGTGTTTGACACAACAACTCTTCACGTACGCAAGGTCTCTAATAGCCAAGGTTTTTTTTGGTATTACAGTAAAACCTGTGACTACCGACCACCCCTTGGTTCCAGCAAAAGCGGTCTTTAGTACCAGGTGATCTTTAGTTGGAGGTTTGCACTGCGTGACCATATATGGATCCCATTAGATGATATATATGTCATAATGCAGCCAATACAATTCCCCAGAACTTGCGCAATGCCAATCTTATTTTAGGTCAAACAACACTTGGAGAGAAAGACGGAGAGCTTGAGAGAGTCAGAGAGAGAGAGAGAGAGAGAGAGAGAAAGAGAGAGAGAGAGAGAGAGAGAGAGAGAGAAGAGTTTAAATTATTTTTTTGCAGACATCAAATTCAGCTGCTACTTCTGAAGCCAGGAGTCAAACGCTCCCTGTGTAAGTTTCGTTTTGCGCTGGGCTTCAAATTTGTTCATGCAATCAATCGTACCGACTGTCCTTGTTGTGCAGACTTCTCGATTGCTTGAACGCGATCCGTCAGCATCAGGACCTTGTGGTGCTGCATGGTTTATGGATTCCTTGATGCCATCGTCGATTCGTCTGTATGACTGGGGTGACAGAGCCGCTCAGTCTTCATTTCTCCTCCGAGTAGTAACATCGATCAGAGAGTGCGTCCGATGCACTCTCCAAGACGTTTCCTATCATGTTTATTCTTCACAGGGCTTGAAACTTTGACAGGTGCAGAGCAGTCCACACCGACTGCACAGTCAAAATGACCTGCTTTCATTTGTTCAGCTGTAGTATCGAAAGATTCCTTTCAGGACCTTGGGAAAATCAGCAAAATTTCAAGAAGGAGCTTCGAGCAACATTTGATTTCCTACATCGCGGTCGCTAGTTACGGGTCAAAAGTCGTCTTTGGGACAAGAAAAGGCGGTCGCTGGTCGCGTTCAGCAGGTAGTCGCTAGTCACAGTGCATTTTGAATGTGAGACCGTCCGTGCCTGGTGAAGTGGTCGGTAGTACCAGGCTGGTCGCTAGTCACGGTGGTCTTTAGTTACAGGTCTTACTGTACATCTTTACAGGCTGACATGTGCTAAACTGCACACAAAGGAGCAACGGATATGCAAATCGTGTGTGACTCGCATGCAGTACATGCGCTGGACGGTTGTGAAGGGAATGGACTTACAGAACGTTTCTCATGTCCCCTCTAGATTGCGCGGGTCACTTTATCACACCTTACTTCGAAGTACATGACTGATTGTATATAAAACCCTAGAAGAAAAAACTTCTAAAATGATCAATCTTCTCACCGGCTTGCCCCTCTTCCAGGTGGCGAATGTCAGGCCGTCGACGCGAGTCCGTTCTCGGAAGCTGAAGAGAAGAACAGAAGCAACACAACAGACTAAGCAAATACAGTACCACACACATCATCGGGTGAACACCATTAGGTCCGCAATAGTCAAGTCACCTCACCAATAATTTCTGAAGGTTTCACAAACCAACCAGACCATGTTGTCTTCTCTGTACTGTGCGATTAGAATGTTTGAGCATAGGACAGCCAAAGAAAATTGCAGTACACGCAACATTAGCTTCATGTACAGCTGTGGCCAGCCATGACCTGTGTGGCTCACAGTCACTACAGATGCAGTTGAGACAGGCTCAGGGCTTGTCCCATGTGCTGAAAAGCACATGGGACAAATGATAACAAGAACACTGCACATGCCAGTCTAGTGCGCACACATTACATCTACCTAGAGACCAGAGCACATTACACAACCCAGAGACCAGAGCACATTACATCTACTTGTATCCAGAGACCAGAGCAAGTACTCCAGAGTGCAGGACAATACACAGCTTACCTTCACCTCCATGCCTGCCAGCATTTCATTCAAACAGTACGAGAAGTTAGTCATGCCGTAGAACTGCAGCAGATAGGAAGCACATACATGTACATTTACACACCTACTACAGCTACTACTTTTTCACATAGGCACACACACGCACACACACACGCACGCACGCACACGCACACACACACACACACGCACACACACTCGCTCGCACGCACACACACACACACACTCGCACGCACACACACACATACACACACACACACACACACACACAAACACACACACACACAGACTTCAAACGACAATACCACCCAGGAGAACAAACAGTGAAATCTGTTTCAGTCGCATAGCATCTCTGAATCCCACTGGCTGCAAATGAACGCACAGCCACCCACGACGTGCCCAAGTATAGGGCTTGGCTATACAGTCGTCCCTCTTCAATCCAGCACTTTATAAACCAGCATGATTTTCAGTAGCCCAAATGTCCTCTTTCTTTAGCACAAATAGTGCTGGATTACAAAGGGAGCACTCTACCTACCTCCTCATAACCTGGTGGCATGGCAGCAGCACGCCATAGTAATCGACCACCCTCAGGCTGCTCTAGCGTTAGCGAAGATGATCCCCTCTTCAGGATCGGCCGGGGCTCGGTGGGCGCTGCAGCAGCCGTGGCTACTGCAGCTACTGGAGCTGCTGGAGCACCCGGTGCTGGTGACCCTCTGGATGGCGATGCGGATGCTGGTGCTGTCACTGCTGCTGCTGCCGCCATTGCTACTGCTGGCCTGAGTGGGGCTGCGGTGGAGCCAGCAGGCACCATGTCACGAGCACCCGAACTAGTGCTGTTGCCGTTGCCGTGGTCAGTGGTAGAGGTAGTGGTGGCAACGGTAGCAGCACCGCCGGCAGTGAGGAGTGGCGAATTGCGCGCCGGAGATATAGACGCAAGCATTGGGCCAGAGCTGGGCGGCAGTGCGACAAGCTCCTCCGGCCACTTGCCCGTTAGATAGCACAAGGTCTCCTTGCTGTATACAGGTAGGACATACACGACAAGCACAGACGAAAAGGATATCAAATATAGTGAGCTGCTTGCAGCGAGATAGAGTACGTGATGTTCAACGTGTTATTCGACAAGATGTTTTAGATAGGTCCAAATAATACGGGCAGTGATTTCGAGGGTTGCGAAAATTCCTGAATATTTTGGGAGGGGGAAAAAGGAAAGGCCAAGCGAAATGTGGACTGTGCACGCACAAGTCCCCAGCAGCTTGTTTGACCTTTCCTTTTTGCCTCTGCCGAAAAAGGCCACGGATTTTCCCGATCCTCGAAGCCAGCAGCAGCAACATCAAGATAATGATTTCTGACCTTGGACTCTGGATGGTACCCTCGACGACATGCAGGTCTCGACCAAACCAGCCGCATGGCTTGAAGTTCAGGTGTGCGCGCAGGTTGTTGGAGTGGTTGTGAATGTTCAGCCCGCCAAACTGAAAATACCCACAGCAGAAATAAAGCACAGACAAATTCGAAAGTCACAACTCTGTACATGATCCGCGTTCTTGACAGCAAGCATATCACAGGAGGTCTGGCTGCCTTTTCAGTGTTTTCACTGCACATGAATACAGAGGCAAAATACGATACTCATCGAAATAGACGATGTGCATGTGCAGGATATGGATGACAACAACAGTAACACAGCCATAGACAAGTCGCGAGGAATGCCTACTAATTTAGGGTGCATTCCTGTTTTCTGCTCGTACTTGGAAAGATCTCTTTAAAAAAAGAGAGAAGAAGAAACGGGAAGAATAAGAACGGATCTTGATGTTGTCTCGAGTGCAAAACGCCAAACGGCCCGCGCCCGTGTTAGACGTGTGAACATATACATGATCGTCTTGGTCACGCCTGGGAACATGTGTAATATGTAGTAGTCTGCATGCGTAGAGATACATCAATGCAAGAGTCTCGAAGTTTCAACCACCTCCGAAGTTCGGAGAGCGCTGGTGAGAATCTCCTAAAATCCCGAGAATCTAGCCCAATCCTGAAATCATTTGATTCAATTCTAAGAACAGATTAAGATAAGATTAAATTACTCAATCTGCGGACAGAACTGTTTCGTCCTTTGTGGACTCATCAGCGCAGCACAGAGAAAATGAGGCCGAACCTGATAGCAATGAAAAATAAATTTTCCAAAGCCAGGTTTAAACCAGGCCCGAACGTACCTTGCCAGAGTGCTCAAACTGACAAGTCAGTGAGCTCTGCATAACGCAAACAGCAAAGGCACTACCCCACATGAGAGTGTTCAACTACTACAAGAGCAGGAGCGAAATACTCAATCTGCAGACCAAACCGTTTCGTAATTATAAATGATGAACGATAAATGATAGATGATCATAAATAACGAATGATCAAATGAACAGGCCGAAAGTTGCTGGTTAAAATAGATTGATGTAAAAAAAGAGCAGTGTTACTTACGTGCTCCACCCAGATCTTGCCAACGATAATGTTGTGAACGCAAGTGTTGATGAAGTTCCATGTGTATACTTCATTGTGCCTGTGCGTGCCAGCATCAAGACCCACACCCAGAAGAGATGGCACACATGCACACACGCATGCACATACACGTTGGATCAGGTGATAATATAGATTGCCCGAAGCAGGGAGTAGTAAAATACAGGGAGGTGACACGCCACTAATCGTGATTTTTGATGGGTGCCTCGCGCTTGTTTTTTTTTCTTTCGCAAAAAAAGATGATCTGCTGAGTCAATCTGGAGTATTTGTCGAAGAACTAATTCCGTGAAAAGGTCTATCCATCTCATGGAACAGCATTTGTTTTGCTCTTGTGATACATCTGTGTCATCGTCATATGGAAAGGTACCACCCTTCCGAAATTCGTCCCGATCGACGGCATGGAGCAATCGAACGAAGGTGATTTCCTTGAGAACAATACGTGTACGATTGGAGATGAAAAGCGAGTGCACCGATTTCGAAGTCGAAAAAATCTCTAGGACACCACACGATCGGCACTAATTTCTCCTCAGTTGTGATCAACCAGTACTTCTCTACCTTCTTTGTGATAATGAGCATTTCATATTATGGTATGCTAGAGATTCGGGAGTTCACTTTTCGGAATGAAATGTTCCTAAGTTTGTCAAGGATTGAAATGCGGGCTACGTCGTCGTAAACAGCTTGTATCGACACAGGAAAAATCTACGGCACGCAGGGATATATCCCAAAGTGATACCACTCTTGCTGGACTTCTATCCTGACATAGTGGTAGTTTGGTCGACTACCAAACTTTGTGAAGGCAGACAATTGTTGGAAATTCTCAGCGCTGAGTTTCTACGGGCTGCAGTAGGAGTCTCTTTGGCGGTAGGTATTTTACTACTCCCTGATCGAGAGAATCCTGATCCGCGCGCGTGTCTACACACTTCGGTACCCACAGTACCCCAATCTCACCCGCCGGGTGAAAACGGTGCTGAGGCAATCGTCAAACTGGCCGTACATGCTCGTGTCACCTCCCTGTATTTTACTACTCTCTGCCCGAAGTGGTTGCATGCATTGTCGGTTCAAAAGTTTTAGGGAAGGATTCACCAACTGCTCAACCCCAAACCTCGGGGATCAGCCAACACAAAATACACACAGCGCTGTGCGTGTCGCTGATTTCAGCTGGCAATGGTAGCCATCTCCCCCCTCCCCTCTCTAAATCGAAACGTTCCAAAGACACCAAAATGGATAACAGGATTACATCTAAATGGACAATGGCACTAGACCCTACCTGAGAAGCTCAAGAGTCAAACGTCCGACTGGCCACACCTCAACACCCTTGCCAAGAAACTTGATCTTCGACTGAATGCTGAAGTGAAGGCGATAGTTGGCCGAGTCCGCGTGCAGAGCAGTTACTGGAGGATGATGGCTGACCTGCGGCAGCACAGCATACATCCAGCATTAGGAGATCAAAGCCAATGGTCGTATAGTGGAATACACGGAAAAGAAGGACATGCGGTGAATTCAGCACATGCATGTATGACCTGTCTGTACAGTAAGAGCACGTTGTGAGATGCACCTTTCAAGTGGACAGTCTGCGACTCTGCGTGTACAGAACACGGGCTCATCGGATGGTCTCTCCAGTCTCCAAACTGAGATAAAGGTACGTGTACAGTCATATACAGTGAAATTTCAGGATAATGTACAGTCATGTACCTCCAAGGGACATGAAAATCTGTACTTTTTTTACTACACTTCATAACCGAGGTACATTCCCTGAGCGTAACCGAGGTGCAGCGTCAGTGAGATCAAGCGACTGGTACAGCTGCACAATGCAGGGTCCTCAGCAAAAGTACTTTATAACCCATAGTATGTTAGAGCCAGGGTAGTTGATAGTTGATACTGAGGGATTTCACTGTACATGTACATGCACAGTCGTACGTCATCACAGAAAGAAGTCGTTCTTGGATGGTGACATACCACGCAAGCGCAAGATCGTGTTGCATACCTGTTCACAGAGCACGCGGAAGCCGAGGTCCTCGCGTTCCAGTTCGTACGTCTCACCCAGCAACGGGTTGAACGGTTTGCCAGTGCGAAACACGTCGCAGGCGTAATGGGACACCGCGAATGCCGACACGTACTGCATAGAGTTAGCGAAACCAACCAACCAACCACACACGTGTACACATAATACACACCGATGCATACGCACGCACGCACACCCACAATCCGTCATCCACACACATACACGAGCGCATGCACGCACACACACGCACACACGCGCACGCACACACACACAAACATATACACACACAGCGCAGGAGAGTTACTACAAAAAAAGTGACAACTGCTGTATACAGTGTAGTATCACACAAGCACTCTAGGCGTCACTGAAAAGAGCAAAGCAAACCTATACAGACACTGACAAAATACTCAGTGCGGTGTAGTACCTGTACATTGTTAGCAATGGTACCACTACACACAATCGAACAGCACATCATAGATCTAACCATGAGCACAGCATGTGCATTTGAACAGTGCACTGCATCTACAGACCATCTCCAGTATCATCCCAGTAGGAATGTGTGACAATGCACTGCACTGCATTTACCGACCATCTCCAGTATCATCCTAGTAGGAATGTGTGACAATGCACTGCACTGCATTTACCGACCATCTCCAGTATCATCCTAGTAGGAATGTGTGACAATGCACTGCACTGCATCTACCGACCATCTCCAGTATCATCCCAGTAGAAATGTGACAATGCACTGCACTACATCTACAGACCATCTCCAGTATCATCCCAATAGGAATGTGACAATGCACCGCTCATCCGTATTCGGATTTTGCACCTACATGTAAAATCCGTCCAAATACGAAGGACTCCGGCGTGTCTTCCGTGCTGTACTGTAGCCATTCTAATTTTGGTGGCATGACATTTTCAGTGCCCTGGCTAATTTTATTTTGTTGGCACTACGGAGCACTCATTGCTTAGCACAGTACTAGCACATGCACATGTGCATACATATGGTGAGCAGGAGGAGAACCGACCTGGAGACGGAGAACAGGGTCGTCACTGAGCGACGCACGGTCCAGGAGATATGCGTACGTCAGCGACTCTGCCACTCGCTGTGTGAACGACAGCGGCTCGTTGAACATAACTGAGCATGCAAACACACGGAAGCAAAACATCAGAAATCACACCCTCTGCAATATACCGTAATACGTTAATCACTACGGCAGAACGCAACGTGGTGACACATACCAGAAATGTATAGCAGGGCACACAAAACGCACAGTCATGGCCATTGTGGTAGGACAAATTGTCAACTTTAAATTAAAACTAAATATATATGGTATTTGACGACTACCTGAGTTTAACCCAACACAATTTATGAAAACCATGCAGACAGTACTGTGCACCCGATCGATCGCTGAACTCCTATCAGCTCCCTAAAAAAAAAAGTAAATTGGCCCGAAAGTGATCCGGTGAAAACCGGACCAACTGGACCGGTGGCTATGCCCCTGGCGTGGGTGGGATGAGAGAAAGAGAGAGAGAGAGAGAGAGAGAGAGAGAGAGAGAGAGAGAGAGAGAGAGAGAGAGAGAGAGAGAGAGAGAGAGAGATCAGCTCACCTGGCATGGTGACGCGAGACAGATCCTTTCCAATGCACTCTTTGAGAAAGGCCCAGAGACTGAACTCAGCACGAGAGATTGCTGGACATGGCAGGCTAGTTCTACAGTGACAGAATGATACAGTACAAACCAGTCAGTAAGACTCCCGAATTCACCTCCATTTAAGACATCCATGTTGCTGAAACACTGTACTGCCCCAGTAAACACGATGAAGAGGTGGGCTAAATACACATGACTGATTGATTGGTTGATTTTTATTTCACGGATCCTCCAGAGGCAAATAGATGCCTATCGAAGGGAGTCTCCTAAGTAAGTATGGAAAATGAGAAAGTATGTTCGTAAGGGAGAAGAGGTAGAAGATACATTAGAATATAGAGTACAAAAGAAGTAAATTCAGTACTTCGGGTAGTACATTGCATGCTAATCATAATGAGACATGCAATACAAGAATGCATACATGAACGCATAGTCAAGTGCACGGAGGAAAGCTACTTTTAAAAGCCAGCACATCCATAATCAGAATAGATTGTAGATTGTAGAGCCCACCGCTCCACCCTATATCATTTAAAATACTACTCAACCAGAACCCTTCGCTATTGCCCATTGCCATCCCACGCTGATAGTTTCTATTATTGTGAACCAGCTCCTGCAGTACCAGAGGGAAACACCTTCATTCCATTGTTGCAAGCCAAGCAGCCCCCATCACATCAGTGCATCTTTTGGAATTCCTGTTCCACCTCAGAAATAGCAGTGTACACCATACAAGCAGGGACATTTCAAACAAAATCGGCCTGTCTCCCTCACTTGTCAGACCATGGAAAATAGACAATAATCAGACAGTAACGAATGTAGTACATGTACCTGTAGCCATCCGGTTGCCATTCCTCCAGGACCCCGCGCTGGTCGGCCATCGACTCCGATATGACCGAGGCCGTGTCCTCGTCCATGCGAGAGCTGACGTGCGAGCGCGTCTCGAAGAACTCGTCGTCCGAGCCCGCCTCGAAGTACTGGCTGACGCTGCTCACGGGCGAGTGCACCAGCGAGGACGCCCCAGAGCCGCCGCCGCCTGCAGCACCCATCACCGTCCTGGGAGACTGTGTGGATAAAAGGTAGCAGGCAGTGGACTGAGTGCTAGTTTTGCCCAGTAGTGCATTAACTTGGTAGTGCGACTCGGACTGCACAGGCATTGACCAGTGTAAAACAAGCCAGAAATCCCAGGTTGCAACAGAACATGGCATGCGAGAACACACACAAAGAGGAAAAAGATAATGAAAGATGGTTCAGAACAGGAGTGCTGCACACTGTTCGCACCACCGCCAGGGAGCTGTGCGGGAAAATGAGATTTTGCGGACGATTACGGCCAACACACAATGTGCAGAGCGGAGTGCCAGCACTTCATAAAGGCAACGCACAACCTACCACATTGCCGCCCAGCGACTGTTCCAGCGCATGGTGCTCCTTGGCGAGAGCTTGTAGCGACTCCTCGAGAAGACGACAGCGCTCCTGCTCCTCTTCCAAGTGCACACGCCGTACCTGCCAGCCAATAAGACAAACAAGAGAACAGGCACACCAAGACAGGGTCGATCACAAGTCAACCCACTCACGACTACCAGCAACTGGATGACTCTCACAAACCCATGATAAATAGAGTAAAGCCAAAGCAGTGCAGGAGTATGAAACCACAAACACTGGCCTTCTCAAGGTGGGGCCAACATTACAGAGTACTTGACAGCACATTCGTCAATAAACTCGGGTCTTGGTAACTGACCTCCTCCTGTTGCCGCATGATGGATACAGTGTCAGCCAGTGCAGCGCACATGTCACGTGCTGTAGTCATCAATTGACTGAAACGTAAGTCAACCTCAGCATGGTACCCTAACAACAACAACAACAACAACAACAACAACAACAACAGCAGCAGCAGCAGCAGCAGCAGCAACAACAACAAGAGATTTGAAACAACAGCAGCAACAGTAAGGGAGCATCTCATAAGTTCGCACTTTTTTTGTAAACGTAACGCATTTCAAATAGACTTTACCCCCCTACCTCCCCCCTCTATTTGAAAGTCTTATCGCACATTTTCCGTGTGGACCTAATAGTGTGCATGTCCATGCCATGCATGTCCATGCACATGACTTGTATGCCCATGGTATGCACATGAATGTCAACATGGTCAAAGTGAATGGCATACAGTACTGCATCTACTGAGTACAAGAACAATGAATGACATGTACACGCACATAAACAGAGTTCCTCCACAACCACTGTGTACTGTAAAAGCTGACCAGGTACAGTACACAGTTTGATGATGCTAGTGATGTGACACTTGACACCTGTGAGTAGCCTGTATGCATGCAATGCAAGGCTGATCTCCAAATACAGGCACATAGATGTAGATCTACACCTAAACACGCTCATTTGCTGAAGCGATCTAGCACATGCACTGCATGCACAGTATGTACAAATCCAGAAAATGTGCGAACTGTCATTTTTCTATTCGAAAAGGGCGTTACCCCCCTACCCCCGTTTCGAAATGCGTTACGTTTAGAAAAAAAATGCGAACTTATGAGATGCTCCCTAAGGGGCCGTCCAAGGTTACCAATAATATTTTCAAAACGAAATGTTTTCGTTTGTGGGTGGGTGGGTTTGATGGAGTTTCGTTTTGAAAATAATTATTGAATGCTGATGGAGAATGCCCAGTTACTTCTGGATGTCGAAAATTGACATCAATATTTTATTGGAATTCGTTTTACCTGCAGAAAAGGTGGGTCGGTGGGTGGGGGCTGAAAAATACTAAAACTTTTCGTTTTGTAAAAACAATCGGTAACCCCGGACGGCCCCTAACAGTAACAGTAACAGCATCAATATTTACATAGCAGTGGGGGGGGGGGGGACAAGAAAAATCAGTGCAATACAAAGACAAAACTGACAGCAAGGGACATTGCTAACAAGATTCCAATTCTTCAAAGTCGGCAAGATGAGAAAAGTGAGAGAGAGAAAAAATTCATGAGAGGTGGGACCCAAACAGCGTAGGAAGACAGCTGAACAAAGATAAAGAAACAAATAATTCACACATAAATGAGCTGTACACGTGAATCTAGGCGGGGGCTACACACGAATGGCTCTCCACACTACACTTACTGCATCTCAATCAACAACAGGCATCAAAGGCATGTACTCATGAAAAGTGGCCAACATTGTTGTTGTTGCACCGTAGTAGAACATGTTCACAACAAAACTAACCTTGCGTGCTGGACGGTCCGTAAGCAGTGTGAACGAGTTGAGCAACCTCCTGCAGCTGCCGCTCTAATACTAGCCGGTGTGCGTCAGCGTTCTGCATGGCATGATTGATAACACAAGAACACGCACAAGTGCAGGCACATGCACACAAACACACACAGGCATACACACAGGCATACACACGTACACACGCACACATACACCCACCCAGAGACAGGCCAAATGCATGTGCAATGGAAACCGTGTGGTATGTGTTGTCAGCACACCAAGAGAACATCACGCTGAACAGTGCAGGTACTGCTCGAAATGTGGATACCTTTGCTCCAGCTACTCGTACCCATAATGCACACTGCACATCTCACTTTGAGGGTAGGCACTGGAATGCAATTCTAAGGTGTTCGTTCATCAGCAGTCCATTCTTCCATGCATTAGCTTACATTCCGTGATTAGAACCATGGCAGTCGTCCCTCTCTAATCCAGCACTTCATAAACCAGCACCCTCAATACATCAGCATAATTTACAGTAGCCACAGTGTCCTATTCATGCCCACTGCACCAATAAATCAGACTTGTTAATCGGATCATAACGGGACCACGCACCTGGAAGCACTCTTCGATGCTGCCCAGTGGCTTGAGATCCTCCAAGTCGGCACTGTTCGTGGAATTTGAGCGCATCGGCCGCACTTCACGTGTGCTGTGTAGTCGATGCTGTACCAGAGCACTAATCCAGCGCTGAAACGACATGCCACAAGATAGAACATACTCGAAAGCGGTACATCACAGGACACAACAGTAGCGAGAACATACAGCATATACCACTATTCTCCTCCTGAAGGTGAGCATGGGTAGAGCAGACAGATGAATGATCCCCTGTAAAGGCCAATGAAGGCTGTGACCATTAGTTGTTGACATCATGTACCGAATGAGCAGAACATCAGCAGTTTGCACAGAATCAATCCCCACAACCAGCAGCACATACAATGTAGAAAGCAGAGTACCCAGGGTATCGTACTTGCAAACACAGTAGCATGCACAGTGCACACATATTTCGTACTATTAAGCTACTTACAACGCACACAACACAATTTCAGAATCCAGTCTGGCCTCCATACAACAACGAACAAATCTCCAGAAATGTTGACCACAGTTACACTGCTACAGCCTTCCCAGCCAGACAATCTCGACTACGGTAGTAGAGGCCATCGTCACTACTCACCTGGCGGTCGACATCAGTCGAACGTTCCGTCGGCACAGTCCACATCTGCACGGCGTGGTCAATGTACTGGACCTTGAAAGAGTTGCAGTCATCCATACTTGTCTGCATGTGTACAGCAGCCAGACAAGCACAAGAGAAGCAAACGTTACACACTGCACATATGAAGCAGTAAAACCTGAACGTTCCTGCACTCCACACAGAAGGCAAGGAAAGAAAATTAGAGAAACATACACCCACCCACCCAGCCACACACGCATGCATGCACGCACAGATACCCACACCCACAAAACTCACAGCCAGGTCAGCATCAGCCAAATGCTTGAAACCGAGGTGCTTCTTGCGATGAAAAGCATCTGACCTGGAAGAACGCAAGGATCATGATACGAACGAAAATGAATACCAGATGCCGCCACAAATATCGGAGGAAGGTGCGAGACAACCAGACATAGAAAGGAAGAAAAAAAAGTATGTAAGAGAGAGCGCGCGCACGTGTGTGTGTGTGTGTGTGTGTGTGTGTGTGTGTGTGTGTGTGTGTGTGTGTGTGAGAGAGAGAGAGAGAGAGAGAGAGAGAGAGAGCGAGAGAGAGAGAGAGAGAGAGAGAGAGAGCACGCGCACGTGTGTGTGTGTGAGAGAGAGAGCGAGAGAGAGAGAGAGAGAGAGAGAGAGAGAGAGAGAGAGAGAGAGAGAGAGAGAGAGAGAGAGCGAGAGAGAGAGAGAAAGAGAGAGAGAGCACGCGCACATGTGTGTGTGTGAGAGAGAGAGAGCGAGAGAGAGAGCGAGAGAGAGAGAGAGAGAGAGAGAGAGAGAGAGAGAGAGAGAGAGAGAGCGAGAGAGAGAGCGAGAGAGAGCGAGAGAGAGAGAGAGAGAGAGCGAGAGAGAGAGAGAGCGAGAGAGAGAGCGAGAGAGAGAGAAAGAGAGAGAGAGAGAGAGCGAGAGCGAGAGAGAGAGAGAGAGAGAGAGAGAGAGAGAGAGAGAGAGAGAGAGAGAGAGAGAGAGAGAGAGAGAGAGAGAGAGCATGAAGACAAGGCTAAAAGGTGGGAAAGCCAAGCAACAGCAGTGACAACCTGGTAGGCTGTAGTTTACTTGAAGTAGTAAAAAAAGGCAGGAGTCACAGAAAGCAGAAGGGCGGCTCTACTTACTTCGAAGCAAACCAGGAAAGCACACCTTGATCCAACACAACCCAGCATCGCTGCTTGCCGAAAAACCTCGACTTCTAGTGGGGAACCAGCATAGAATGAACAGCAATGCAGACCATCAACTTCAACTACAAGTATACAGAAAAGCAGATAAGTCAAGAAATTGTTATAAACCTGATCCCCAGAGGCAAAGAAGGCAATAGCTTCTCATGCACTCAATCACACTCCTTTACACCAGGCCACAGGGGCACACATTGTGCATACAGTGTACTAGTAATCCAGTACACACATTCAAGCATTGGTTCTCCGGACTTTCTATAAAACGCAATGGGCCGAGAAGCAACCCCAAATCGCGACATGCACTGTTGAATAAAATTTGAATTTCCCGCTCATCTTGATCTCACCTTCAGCAGAAATCCCTCAAACCGTTGAGCTGGTTTTTGAGCAGCCTGTAACAACACAGGAAACAAGAAGAGAACAGAATGGAGCCTAGAAAGAAGATTTCCACCCCTCCACACACTCACACGCATGCACCCTAGCACACAAGCATGCATGCAAGAACGCCAAGTACGCACGCACAAACGCACACACACCCTACAGCTGCCAGTGACTGCTGCGTCTGACAAAAAAAAAACCAGTGATATGCTTCCATTGCAAAGAGGTTGGCCATGAGAAGACAAAGTGCCCAAAGAGGAAAAGCTCGAAGGGCCTCACTTGCTTCATGTGTAAGAAGTAAGGTCATGCCAAGAAGGATTGTCCTGGTTTGCAGTCTGGTTCTGCTGCTGCTGGCCATGCACCAATTGGCAAGATAGACACGTGGCTTGCGTTGGCCAAACCTGACGGAGACCTGGTTCGTGTTGCCATAGACATGCCAGAACCCAGCAATGACAGCGCGTGGACACGTTATGCATCCGTTGTACATGTAGACTCTGGCTGCACAAGTACACTTGTGGAATCTGCTGCTGTTAACCACTTGAGCTTGGCTGGCTGTGCTACCAGTTGTGACGACAAGCCGTTTGATATCCTCGGCAGTGTCACACTATTTGTGCAACGGCTTGACAGACCAGTACATTTGCCTCGCACCACCATGGATTATTGCCTGGTTGTACATAGCCGGTCATCGTTGAACACAGACATCTTGATTGGCACTGACACCATTGGCAAGGCCGGTGGCCTCACTCTGCGTTACGATGGTCTGGGGGGCACGTTTCCGTCAGTCGTGTTTGGTCCACAAGCGGACATCGCAGCGGCTGCAACCCAGCAATCCAAGTCAGATAAGCCAAGCAAGTTGTCTCGCCACATTGATGTCGCACAGTCCCCGTTTGTGGTTACGCTGAAGACGAATGATTGCCAAGCCGAGTGCTCTGAAGAGCGTGGCCACTGGATTGCTCATTGGTCATGGAAGGATGGTGTGGCTCCTGACCAGCACATTGGTTCTGGTATTGGCGAGTATCCACGGACATTGTTGAGTGCTGACGAGGAAAAGCAGTTTGCATCAGAGATGAAGCCGTGCATGGAGAACGGTTGGCGTGTGAAGTCTGACCGCAAGTCATTCGGCGACCCTGTTGCTGTCTTGCCTATACTTGCCGTGAACTAGCAGCACAAGGCCACAACACTGGTTCATCCACGTGTTGAATATCGCGCTCTGAATGCGTGCCTAGTATCTACTCCTGGTGCTGATGCCCCAGCATGTGATCGCAAGCTACGCGATTGGCATGGCCGTGACTCAGATGGTGTGTTACTTGACATAAAGAAAGCGTATTTACAGGTCCGCATTGATCCTGAACTATACATTGTACAAGTGCCAAGCTATCGTGTACAATGGTGAGTTGTACTGTATGACCAGAATGGGCTTTGGTCTTGACATCGCACCGAAGAGTCTTGACATGACTGTCAAGTGGGTCACCCGTGATTTCATCGATGTTGACAACTATGCTGATGACCTGTACACTCCTGCTGCACAAGCCGATGCTGTCAGCAAGCGGTTCGCCAAGTTGAGTCTCTCGACCAAACCAGCGGAGAAGCTCACATCTTCTCGTGTTCTCGGTCTCCAGCTTGCAGTATCTGATGAGCAAGAGACATGGAAACGGCGTGATGGTGCTGATGATATGTCCGCCTGCCAGCTTCTCCACCCCGGCATCAAGTCTTCAGCTGGTCTGGTCGTATCGTAGGTCATTGCCCTGCATGTTCGTGGTTCCGTCCAGCCTGCCACACTGCTGAAAAATACGATAAGAAACATTTGATTCGAAGAGTTTGGGTCATGACTAACCTGTACGGGCTTGATGTCCAGCAACGCCCTGATCTTAGCACTACATGCCACCTGCGATGGTGTCTTGCCTGAAACAAAGCCCAGCACATCATACACACACATGGACACATGCATAGACACACGTACGCATACGTACGCACGCACGCACACACACACACACACAAACACACACACACACAAACACATACACACATACACACACACACACATTAGAACCTGGCAATACCTAATTGACAAATGACCTAGCACCAGTTCAGATACAGTCATTTATACGCAGATGCACTAACAACACAGCACAATGCGTTTGCATCAAGTGATTGAGTTCCTCTTCAGCCATCACTGTACTAACCTTCTTTGTTGCAGATTGATGCATCAACACCTTGCTGAAACAACAGAACGATAACATCCGCATGGCCCCTGCAAGAACAGCAAACATGAAAGCAGAATGAAAACGAGGATACCAAGACCAGGGGGGGGGGGGGGGATGTGGAGGCTAGCTTGTGTGTTTCTGAACATCCAAGTGATGTTGACGCGGATCCCGCAAACATTATTATTACTATTATTATTTGTTACACGGGACTACAGTCTTCTTTCAGAGTATTGGTTAATGGCGAGCATACCTGTACGCAGCATTGTGCAGTGCAGTGTTGCCCAGACTATCTACGCACTGCAAGTCGGGAGACGCCGTACTTGATAGCTGCACACGCACAAACAAACAAAAGCAAAGTGTGCACAGGAGAAGAATGGCCACCACCGCCACTGCCAACATTCACATCCCCACGAGCAACAAGCGAGTAGTGTAAAAGCAGGAGTAAGCATTACATCGGAATGGGCACAGAACATCCGTACTTGGAGATGAACTCGTTAAATCTGAACGATGATAAGTCGTAGTCTGCATATCCCTCACCCTGTGTGCTCTTTCTGTCTCTGTCTGTTTGTCTGTCTGTCTCTCTCCCAACAGGGCTTCATGAGTGGCTTGCACAAATAAAAGCACATCCATGTAATGCATTGCATGTAACGCTTACGTACCAGGTCCTTGAGAACGCTAATATCACCCTCGGCAGCTGCACGCAGGAATGTCTGCTCTTCCTCAAACTGCAGACGGCGATCAGCCGCTACAATACGTATGCACAAGGGTACACACACACACGCGCGCGCGCACACACACACACACACACACACACACAAACGCGCGCGCGCGCACACACACACACGCACGCACACACACACACACAGAGTCTTGCAACATGCGCCAATCAGAACATTCTCAGCTAATACTTAATAGGTACAGTGTACAGCAGTGGTTGATGCTTCAATGCATCGGCAAGCTAGCAAAACAACACAATCAGACCGGTCCTGCCTCAGGCAGTACACAAATAATTGGCAAACGGAAAAAAATAGAAGAAACCGATGAACAGCATGCACACAAAGAGCACTACATGTGATAACATCTTCTAATAGGTGCAAACAGTAAACGTGTGTACACGTGTACAGTGGGAGGGGGGGGGGGGGGGGGGGAGATTCTTTCACTCCAACTGTACTATTGCATACCTTTCAGAGCTTCAGTAATATCTTCTGATTGCGCAACATCGATCGGCCGGTCGCCATTGGCATTGATGATGCGCACGTCTGCTTCACATCTCAACAACTCCAGTACAATGTTCTGCATGACCATACACCAACACCCACAGAAACAACACCAACAAAAAATCAACATCAACAACAATCAACATCAACATCACCGTCGGCAACAAATTCCACACAGAGCCATTCGACATTGAAACTTGGGAGAATACTAGTAGGTAGAGGGTAGCAAATCATACCCTTCCGCCAGCCATGCACTTTGCACATAGAGTCAGTAGAGAAAGAAAGAAACTATGTAGCAACTCCGAGTCTTGCGTTATTCACGATCACCAGGCAACCGGTGGTCCAAAACAGGCAGCCGGAACATAAGGGGAAACGAGGCGAGGAGAGGAAAACTAGTTGCCTGATAAACGTGAATAACGTGAAACTAGGAGTGGCGACATAGCTTCTTACTCTCCCTGCTGCCTGTGTGGAAAGCTCAGCCTTATACGAGCATTGAGCAGTCTTCGGGCCATGGAGCACCCTGCATGATCACACTTGGTACACGTACAGAAAGGAGCCAGGAGCTACACTGCATACATCAGACGCGTAGCACTACTGTTGGAGGTGGTCTGGGGGTGTCCCCCAGGAAATTTTTGAAATTAGGGTGCAAAATCCTGCATTCTGGGCACTTCTGGGCGAAAATGTGGTCCGGCCGGACCGGCTGCTACGCCCCTGTACATGCATGTACATGCACACGTACAGTGACTAATACACACAGCACAGAGGTAGGGAAGAAAGTCGGCGGTGTACGAGTTCAAGAACCTACCATTCGAGCAGTGAATGCTGCTTTGTGCAGGGCGGTGTCTCCAGATGCATTCTGCAAGTTGATATTGGCACCGTTCTGCAAAGTGAAAAGGCGCATACGCAGGCCGCATATGCACATACATGCAAAGAACAGCATCCGCAGCAGCAGCATAAAAAATTAAAAAAACTGCTTCACAAGGCATACAATCGCGGTCTATGAACATAGGTAGTTTTCTGAAGCCAAGGTGACCCAGCACATTGCACACACTTGGTGGTACCAAGGCCAAGAAAGAGTGGTCCTATTGGCCAGTTGGTCTCTTGACATGGTTTCACCTGCACCAGATTGCCTCTCTCTCTCTCTCTCACTCTCTCTCTCACTCTCTCTCTCTCTCTCTCTCTCTCTCTCTCTCTCTCTCTCTCTCTCTCTCTCTCTCTCTCTCTCTCTCTCTCTCTCTCTCTCTCTCTCGTGCTACCTTCTCCGACGAACCTACGCCGTAGGGGAAACACCGTAGTGGATCCGTACTGTAGTTTGTGCCGTGCCTGGGCCTGTACTACGCGCCACGTGCTTGTCGCTGGACCAGGGACGTTACACCTGGAGGCACGACAACGTACTCGGGGTCATCGTCAGGAACATGCGCGAGGAGATTCGAATCCGCACTGCTGCAAATACCGTACAAACCGAAAATTCAAAAGAACTTGACTTCATCTTGTTTTGCAAGGCGGAAGAGAAGCCAGTTCGTGTTCAGCCCAGACGGAAGTTGGTTACGACTGATCTCCTGTCAGCGGCCTCAGACTGGAAACTTCTTGTCGACTCAGTTAGTGCAAAGATTTCTTTCCCTAGCTCTGTTGCACTTACCACCCTACGACCAGATATAGTTCTGTACTCTACGAGTCGTAGGATTGTATTCTGGATGGAGTTGACAGTTTGTGCTGAGGACAGATTCAGTGTCAGTAACTCGCGGAAGGACAGGCGGTATGCGGATCTGGCCGATCAATGCCGAGCAAACGGGTGGCAGGTCGTTTCCTTTTCGGTTGAGGTAGGTGTGCGTGGTTTCATCCCGGACTCTCTTCGGAGGGCTCTGAAAGCGCTTGGGTTTTCTAATGTAGAGGTCTCAGTCCTCATTTGTTAGACTTACCTGTCTTTATAAATGTAACTTTCTCTCTCTCTCTCTCTCTCTCTCTCTCTCTCTCTCTCTCTCTCTCTCTCTCTCTCTCTCTCTCTCTCTCTCTCTCTCTCTCTCTCTCTCTCTCTCTCTCTCTCTCTCTCTCTCTCTCTCTCTCTCTCTCTCTCTCTCTCTCTCTCTCTCTCTCTCTCTCTCTCTCTCTCTCTCTCTCTCAGTTTCATCATGTAGCATCATCAGGAAACAAAATGTCAGTAAAGTTGGTCATTGGCACCAAGCATATAGAAGGAACTTGGTGCCAAGCACTAATGCAAAGCTACTACTGTAAAGTAGGAAACCTTCGCTAGAGATAACATTTTGCTATTTTCGCGAACATCACACATATCGCCGGAGTCGCAGCACCTCTTCATCACAGATTCGTGAAAAAAATATTGCCATATTTTAAAACTGCTCTGGACATGATCCAACTGAAGAGATCGAATCGTGAAAGTTTTTCATCATGAGCCATTGCAGCTCTTGAAAAATGAGAAATGTGCGCGCCGTGAAAATTTATCGCTTCACAGTATGTGTAGAACTGCACTTTCCCGCGCTACACACACAAACAGGGAATATGGCGTGGAGTATAAAAATTGCACTTTCAAACACAAAGCATTGGTGATTTCAAGGTGGATCCAGGCCTCAAGTCGACACTACATGTAGTCACCTAACAGCTCTGCAGTGTTCGAAAGGCCACTTCCCGCCGAAAGATTCGTCTTAGCTAAGTTTCGGCCTCTCGGGACGACTTTGGATTGCCTTATGTGACAGTTTGTGAAAGCAGCGCCGATGTGTATGTGAAAGGCGCTGCTTGTCCCGAGGAGAGGAGACAGTCTAATCCAATGGTTCGTCTTATCCGTGTTGTACTACCCAGCAGCTACACAGCCTCACTATTCCACCATCACACGAAGAGCATGCCACCAACCTTGAGTAGAAGCTTCAGCGCTTGCAAATGTCCGAAATACGCCGCAATGTGGATGGCACCCCAGCCAAGATATGCACGATTGCGCCCTGCAAAATTCACACAGCAAAAGAGAGAAAGAGAACGTTCAGTCATCCCATAAATAAATTATCCTTGCAACACACACACACACACACACACACACACACACACACACACACACACACACACACACACACACACACACACACACACACACACACCATGCACACACATGCAGGGATGCGTGAGCTCGCATGCGCACGTGTGTACATAATACATAATGGCTGCAGTGTGATATCCTTGTAACATCCCTGCCCACATACATACACACATGCTGCTGCACACACACACACACACGCGCGTGTGCGTGAATATGTGTACATAATGCATAATGACTGCAGCCATATCGCTCACAGCGTAACTGGTCATACAGACAAGCATACAGACAAGCATACACGCAAGCACATACACACGCGCACACCACATGGACATCTACACAGAGTGACCACAAGGCTGGATTTTAAGCTGAATATTTGAACAGAGCACAATATAGTAACCTACCGGCATAGTTGACATTCACCACGGCCCGGCCAAGCAGTGCCTGCAAACACCAAGTAGCAAAATAAAATAAAAGTCTGAGGAAAAATGGTAAACGATGTCCACTGGTATAGCAAACACACCAAAGCTTAGTAACAACAGTTTCCGGTCACCGGGCAAGAGCCCCATTGTTCAGCTCTCCTTGTCAGAGCATGGGTGAATGTACATCTGTCCCTGCAGGAATTTGCGGAAAATTTCTCAAAAACTTGCGCAAGAAGCTGCGGCAGAAAAAAAACATAAAAATGCGGCAAAAAGTGCGAAAAGACGCGGAACTTGCCAGGAATTTGCGGAATTATTTGCAGAAAATTGCGGATTTTTGGCCAAATCCGGAAATTTGTTGCATCCGTAGAATCGCTATTTGGGCAGTAGATCTATTCGAGAGTAGTAAGATTCGTACTGTGCAAATAACCTGTAGCTACAGTACAATGACATTATGTACATGTACAATCATGATCATGGAAAGCACTGCGCGAAAAGTGCATAAAGATGTACAAGTCATGTACATGTAAAAAGAGTGCAGAAAACAACAAAAAACGCGGGAATTTGCGGATTTTGCAGAAAATTGCGGGTTTGGGCTAAAAACGCGAAATTTGTTGCATCCGTGGAATCGCGATTTCCTGGAGGGACAGGTACATGCATGTGTGCGCTTGTGCGTGTATGCGTCGTTACTACCGCAAAGTACCACAGAGTGCCCCACCTTGATTTGCAGCCAGGGAAAAGAAAACCAGATGGCCGAGTGCCCCACCTTGATAGTATGTGTAAGGTAATACCATGTAAGAACTTGCGGGTTCCAGGGTCACACGCGGCCCTGTGCAGTACCGGCTCACTGTTCGTGTGGGCCTCACTGCCACTCGAAGGGCAAACTGAGTACGGATCGACTGCACAACGTGCAGCGTGTGCAATGTATGTGTCGTATGACCTATAGCCAGGATTCGCTCTTCTGCCCCACCTCCAAAAACATGACCATGAAGAGTTTAAGGTGGTGGGGCGCTCTTGCACCGCTTTACGGTATATAGATTTCATCGCTGAGGTTGTTAGTATGTCTAGTGGCTCTGAGTTACAAATACTCAGTTGCCGAGGATGGCTGGGGTAGTACACGCAAATGTCACATTTTGTATGGCACACCAATAATGATAATGGTATTTGGTACGATTTTTAAAATTTTATAGGTTTGTGTACACACATAAGCCTGCCCTGCACGTAGTACGAAATATACTTGGAGCATGCGCTGGGAATTTCGCGGTCAGAGGTACCAGTGCACCTGGTGTCTGATTCCATTAAAGCAGCATGCTGTCTATACCAGCTATTCCAGCAAGTGTAGGGTGCTGCATAGGTAGCTAACTGACTTGGCCGATATACCAAGACAGTTATGGGCTTTCCAAAGGTGTATGCGTGAGTGTGTGCATGTTGCATGGTGTGTGTGTGTGGGGGGGGGGGGGGGGAGGGCATATCTCTCCCTCTCTTTCGTTCTGTTTCTGTCTCTCTCGCCTCTCGCGCCGGAATTGCGCACGATTGTAACAAACGCACAGGGCACGGCTGTTTTTTTTCGCGAAATTTGGACATTTAACAAGATGGCAGCCAAAAGTCTCGATTGGACTGGATCGGCAAGGAAATTTGAATTTTCAAATTCTCAGCACCCGATTTCGCTGTGGTTTTCGCTCGATTTAGAAAGCTACCAGGCCAGGTTTACCCGGAAAGCAGGTATTCCGTGTTCCTCTTGAAACTAGCTTTCCGCTGGTACCTCACATGGCCAACTTCCTCGCAGGAACAGTTTGTTCCGCGTTGCACAAGTCAAGCCTTCTTTCTCGCTCGTTCCTTGATTCATCGTTGACATGCCTGCCTCAAGAAGCCCTTTCAGAAGTTTTCCCAGTCTAGCTTTCAGTTTTCCCAGGTAGAGGACTATCTTCTGGCTATCTTCACCAAGTTTTATCACGTCCCGTGCACAAACTTCAGATTCCGTGCGTGCGATGCTGAGCTACCTTTTCATGCGATTTAGGGGACAGATGGCATGGCGCTGGAGTCGCTGTCGAGTCCAGGAGGCCGAGGCCTGGTGGAAACTGCCCAGTACTGGCAGTAGACATGTGGAGTACTGCTGAAAAAGGCAGCAAGCACACAGATAGCCCCGAAATTGTGATGTAGATCCAATTGTGCGTTTGTTCGAGTGCATATCGGCAAATTTGAAAGTTGCACCCGTGATCCCGACGAGGAGAAGCTGAAAATCAGTGCGTGCGTCAATATCCAGACTACCAGGGATAGCTTGGAGAGGTTCGAAAAGGTCAGGATGCTGGTTGACCATGGCAGGAGTTCATTTTACCTTCCTTCTCTCTCAAATTGTCTGGATATTGAGTATCTCGCTCGAACGCTTTCAAATAATAAATCCTGGTTCGACTTGCGAAATCGTGGAACCACACGGAGAGTGACATGAGTTTCATCCCAAAACGCAAACTCCCATCGTATTCATGAGGTTTGTACCGCGTTACGTAAATCGCACTAAACGACGCCATATTGTTAAATGTCCGTGCGCGAACAGCCGTGAGGGGAGAGAAGTGTAGGGAAGTATGTCAGTTGGTAGAGTAGTATTTACATGTCTTGTAGAAGTGTTATTCATGATTCAGCAACAAAAAAAACATACAATTATGCTCAAAAATTTGAAATGCAGTAAAGGAAAGAGAAAAGTAATAGACGTTTCGAACGCCTAACAAACCTGAACGTCCTCGAATGATCCCTGACGAGTTGCCTGAAGCAGAAGCTCACAGTCGTCCAGTTTCTCTGGTGTCAACTCATCACTCCTCCGAGCATCCTCAAAGTTGTCAGCTGTTTTTTCGTCATCCACACAATCATGAAAACTATCACGGGATGCCATCCCTGATCGTCAGCCTACAGCTTCGGCGAGTTTCTGCTAGTATTATGAAATCAAGTTTATGTCAGCCATTACAGCAGTGGGGTGATGAGACTGGAAAAAAAACTAGGAAACACTCCAATAGTTCAGTGGGTGCAGCTTCTAGCCCAAACTCCAAAGCTAAACTTTTTCGTAGTGCAACTCCATAATTATGCCTGATGCAACTCCATAATTATGCCTGATGCATAATCGCATTGAAACAAGAAAAAAAAAAGAAAGCTTGCATGCACTTGGCACTTGCACTCTTTGCAGTGACTGTGTGAATCATGGTGTTGGACCGCGTACCGGTACGCGAATACCTATATGCGATACGTCCATGGAAAAGATGCATCGACCGCGATGCGCGATGCTCAACACGCGAGTGCACGACAAATGAAAACGCGTTTAAAACGTATTGAAAACGCCACACGCCGTCGATCGTCACACGTACACATGTACAGTCATGTACATGTACTAGACTGACTGTGACGTGAAAACGTGAAAACGGCTTCGTCTTCGCGATAGGCCCAGACCGTGACCATGGTGACAGATCCGATCGCCTCGATATTTTGCGGCAAAATGTTGCTGCGAAATATTTATATTAATTTATATTTATTACAACATCTCAAGACTCGGGAGAATGAAGTCGAAGACACCACTGCAGCTGTACTTATGGTTGATAAATATGGTGGTAAAGACACACCTGGCAATATGGCGGTAAACACACGCCTGCCCACACACGCTCTCTAGGCTGCAAAGTTCTGGCACAGAGCTCTCCTTCTCACCACCACCACCATCAGTTCGCGCCTGGCGCCTGGTCGATGCATGGCTGGCGGTATCCGGCATAGCAGGCTGGTACATCAAGTAGCGCATGGCACATAGATGATGACACAGCAACGACATAGCTCGATTGCGACGTACGTTTCGTCCCCGCTGGACTCATCAGGCAATCTTCTTCTTGGATGTCTTCATACGGAGCTTGACTCGGGAGAATGAAGTCGAAGACACCACTGCAGCTGTACTTATGGTTGATAAATATGGTGGTAAAGACACACCTGGCAATATGGCGGTAAACACACGCCTGCCCACACACGCTCTCTAGGCTGCAAAGTTCTGGCACAGAGCTCTCCTTCTCACCACCACCACCATCAGTTCGCGCCTGGCGCCTGGTCGATGCATGGCTGGCGGTATCCGGCATAGCAGGCTGGTACATCAAGTAGCGCATGGCACATAGATGATGACACAGCAACGACATAGCTCGATTGCGACGTACGTTTCGTCCCCGCTGGACTCATCAGGCAATCTTCTTCTTGGATGTCTTCATACGGAGCTTGACTCGGGAGAACTTGAAGTGAAGTCATGTGCCATGCGCTACTTGATGTACCAGCCTGCTATGCCGGATACCGCCAGCCATGCATCGACCAGGCGCCAGGCGCGAACTGATGGTGGTGGTGGTGAGAAGGAGAGCTCTGTGCCAGAACTTTGCAGCCTAGAGAGCGTGTGTGGGCAGGCGTGTGTTTACCGCCATATTGCCAGGTGTGTCTTTACCACCATATTTATCAACCATAAGTACAGCTGCAGTGGTGTCTTCGACTTCATTCTCCCGAGTCAAGCTCCGTATGAAGACATCCAAGAAGAAGATTGCCTGATGAGTCCAGCGGGGACGAAACGTACGTCGCAATCGAGCTATGTCGTTGCTGTGTCATCATCTATGTGCCATGCGCTACTTGATGTACCAGCCTGCTATGCCGGATACCGCCAGCCATGCATCGACCAGGCGCCAGGCGCGAACTGATGGTGGTGGTGGTGAGAAGGAGAGCCTGTGCCAGAACTTTGCAGCCTAGAGAGCGTGTGTGGGCAGGCGTGTGTTTACCGCCATATTGCCAGGTGTGTCTTTACCACCATATTTATCAATCTCAAGACTCGGTGGAAACACCGGCCATCTTCAATATTTTGCCGAGCCTGGCACAAGAAACTCGATATTTTGCTCCATTTTGCTCCGGGAAAACGTGTATTACATGTATATCCACTTCCCGTACAATCCCGTACAACGTTTCATAAAAATCGCAGGGTCTGTTTCTCAACACGGGTTCCAACTTCCAAGTTCCAAAATCAAGTCGATCCACAGTGAATCCCATAGATCTTTCGGTGACATAATCTCGTCCTGGGCAGTGTATCCTGCTGAACGGGTAAAAAACAAGGAAATCCAAGTATCAGGTATCGATTTTACCCAACATCTCGATATTTTGCTCCAATTTTTCGGGCAATTTCCGCTCTTTGAATTCTTCGATATTTTGCCGAAAGAATTGCCGGCAGGATCTGTCTGGGCCTACTTCGCGGGACTTCGAAACGTGACACGTGACTGCACATCTAGATCTTTGCCCTCGGGCCTTTGGTCAACCTCGCGAATAGTAGTAGTATTGACATATCCGCGGCAAGCCGCTTATGTACAACGGCATGGGAGAGGATAACAAAAAATGAAAATATAATTATTGTTGGGGAAATCCACGCTATTATCGAATATTCAACAATGACGGGTGTGGGGTTATACCAAATTCCCATAATGTGGAAGTACGTTATTATTGTTGAAAGCACTAGGTGATCTGCACTCTACAATGTGACCTGTGCGATTATATCGTTGAATGATTGCCTGTTCCGAGCCACCAAACGCAGTGTCTCCAGGTCCTTCAGACTCCGGAGACGCATGGACGTTGCCTTAGCTAATTCGTTGTCTATCACCACTGGTAGGGTGATGCGCGGGCGTCCGAGCCAGCCCCGATTCTGTCGCTGGAAATACGCTGTCATGCTCACCTGCGCTGGAGTTGCTTCAGGGAGGCGTAGAATATGACCAAACAGTTTCCACCGTGCTCTTCTGCTTAGTACGGATATTGGCTCGGCATTGCAGCGGGCATATAGGTCTGTGTTGGAGATAATTTCCGGGTAAGATATTCCTAATAGACGGCGGAGCTGCTTTCTGTGGAACGCATCCATTGCTGTAGCATCCCGGGATGAAAGCACCCCGGGGTGACACGCCGCAGTTGTAGGTCAAAATAGATAGCACAAATGCATCAAACAACCTCAGGCGGGTTGCTTCAGAGATAACTTGTCTCCGCATCCACAGGTTGACAAGTGTGTTGAAGGCAGCTGCGGCTTGCTGGCGCCGGCGCTTGAGGTCTTCTGTGACTCCGTACAGTGAACCAAGCAACCGGGTGGACCTCCATCGTTCCTCACCTCTTCTTGCAACATCCTCTTCTTGGTATAGATGGGTCCACTCGGTCTTGGTAGGGTTGATGTTGAGGTTCCACTCTTTGAACACTACCTCTGCCTCTGTTAGTGCGCACGCTAGATGTTGACGGTCCGTGGAGTACAGGTTAACGTCGTCCATGTATGCTGTTTCGCAAGGTATGGACATATCGACAGTCGTGTAGGCTGTCCCTCCAATATTCAGTATGGCAGGTCTTGGCGATATCCTGGGACGCAGGCAACGCATTGTCGCTTCGAGATAACAGGTGAATAGCACCGGCGACAAACTATCTCCTTGTGGGATGCCTATTGATGTTGGAAATTCTGCCGAGAGCGCATTCTTTATCTTCACTCTTAGCCTTGTGTTGTGCAACAACATCTCCACCATTCGTACCTCATCTGTGTTAACTATTTGTTTCATTACCTCCACCAATCTTCCCCGCTGCACTGTGTCGAACGCCTTGCTCATATCCATTCCGAGGACCGTACATTGCCACTTGAAACGTTCAGCCTTGGCTGCCAGCCACCGGCCACACCAGACAATATCCGCGGTACTCCGACCCGGACGGGAAGCGCTCTGGGTTGGAGATAGGTAGGAGTCAATCTTTGGCATAATCCTGCGAAGTGTGATTGTTGACAGGCATTTGCGTATAGAGTTCAAGAGTATTATTGGCCTGATACTGGTTAGCGGCCCTCTGGGTTTCCCTGGTTTCGGGAGCGGGATTAGTGTTCCACATCCAAGATCCATTCCACTGCCATCCGCAAAACATTGGTTTAGAATGGCAGCGATCTCATGTGCGACCCTCTCACCAGCATGCTTGATCAGGTCCCCGGGGATGCCATCCGGCCCAGCTGCCCTCTGCGATTTCAGTAATCTAATTGCCAGGGCAACCTCCGCAGCGCTGATCCTTTCTTCAAGATACTTCGAGCCCAGCGGTCTCAGAATATCATTTACTGCGGATGGATCCCGAAACTGCTGCCTGAAGTGGTCAGCTACCTTCTCTGCCGCTTCTTTATCGTTGGCGATTATCCGTCCAAGAGCGTCATGAACAACCAATGGCGCGGGAGACTGCCGCCGCAGCAAAGAGGCTGCTTGGAAGACCCTTGCATTGTTTTTCAGCTTCTCTACTTCTTGAGCGAAGGAGTCCAGGCGGGCTTCAGAGTTGTTCCGGGCGATATCTCGTATCTGGTGTAATATCTGATTCCGATCGCGTTTCAGTGATTTCCTCCCGTCTGGGCATTTTGTCGAGTCGATTTTTACCCGCAGTTCTTTTTGTTGGGCTGATAGAAGGGCTATGCCAGGATCATGGGCTTTTCGGCTACATTCGGCTCTCTTTTTATATCCAACTGTTTTTGTTGCAGCCGACTCCAGTGCATCCCTCACACCTCCGAAACGTGCCTCAGCTGAAACAGTTCCCTGCTGCGTTTGTTGCGTTGCCAGTGCTTTGTTTACCTCCTCCTGGAATTGACTACAGACCTGGGGGTTCTGAGTAAACATCGAGGTGTTGAAGCTACGCTTAGTTGTCTGGTTTCCCTTCCGCCAGATTGGAAATAACGCACGAAGCTGCAGTGTGGCAATGACTATTCTGTGGTCCGTTGGTGTCTCGCAGCCTGCATAGCTACGTGCATTACACAGCAGTGGCTTGTGTTGCGTACGGCAAAGAACAAAATCGATCTGATTGTAGACAGGTTGTGGGCCAACTTCTCCACTCCCAGGTCGCCGCCAACCCGTCCATGTAGTGCGGTGGCTCTGGCGGTGTTGAAAAGCTGTATTGGCCAAGAAGGCATCATTTTCAATTGACCATTCCAACATGTGTTGTCCGTTATCATTTCTGGCGCCTCTGCTCGCGAATAAAAACCTCGGATATGATGTACGTCATGCATTGTAGATCTACCAAGTACTACTCTTGCCAGTCTTGGTACAGTCAAGAGTATCCGCACACCCCTAC